AGCTTCGCGTTTCATTAAATTATTATAGAAAGAAGACAATTCGTTGTACCGTTCCCTCGTCTGAATTAAGTTCCCCCTGCCCTCTCCCGAGCGTAGCGCGGAAGCTTTGACGTTTTTTAATTCATTAGAGAAAGAAGACGATTCGTTGTACCGTTCTCGACTCTTAATCCTTGTCTGAATTTCAAATATGTTCTTTGTCTATTCCCTTTTCTTCCTACGTCCTTTTCCTTTACACTCCTCTCTTTTTTGGCCGGCGTTTATTGGGGGACCACCCCACCACCCCCCTGGCTACGCGCCTGCTGTCAGATGAACATATGTTGATACCTTGTCCGCCCCGGAAGCTCAGGGGTTTAAGGTTTTAATTTACGGTCAGATTAGCATTCAGGGGTCCACCTTAGCGCCCTAGACGGGGTCCAGGGGGCAGAGCCCCGGAAGTTCAGGAGATTAGGCATTTAATTACGGTCAGATGAGCATTATTTTGATACCTAATTGTTACAATGGCAGGTCACTAATTGGCTTGGGGTTCAGGGGGCGGAGCCCCGGAATCTCAAGGGTTTTAGGCACTCAATTACGGTCAGATGAGTATCGAGGGGCACGCCTAAGGGCTCTTGGTTGGGTCCAGGGGGCAGATCCCCCAGAAGCTCAGGGGTTTTAGGCGTTTAATTACGGTCAGATGAGCATTTTTGATACCTTATTATTTGTGACACTAGCATGACACTATTTGGCGTGGGGTCCAGGGGGCAGAGCCCCCAGAAATCAGGGGTTTTAGGCATTAAATGACCATCATATGAGCATCTAAGGGCCCGCCTAAGGGCCCTAGGTGGAATCCAGGGGCAGAGCCCTTAGGATTTTAGGCAATAATTTTAATCATGGTCAGATGAGCATATTTTGATACCCCATTATAATGTGACACTGGCAGTTAACTTTTTTTTCTTTCTCGCTCTCTTTCTTTCTATTTCTCTTTAATATACTTTTTCAAAGAAGTTAATTGTCAATATTTTTTTCCTGATATAAACTTTCGACGAAAAAATCAACTCAAATTAAAATCTAGTTATTCCAAAAGACCAACAAACAAACAAAAAAATACCCAAGATGGAGAGAGTTATACGGGACAGTGTTTTAAAGATTGAATATTTTCAATGTATCTTGTTGACAGGAATCTTTACTGGAGCGAGACTTTCCTTGTCGTTCGTAGGGTCGACGGAACTCAGGAGGTTGTAGCCGTTGACAATTTTAAATGGCCAAGGGGATTGTTTGTCGACCCAAAAGGTTGGTACCTCGATTTCTGTCTGTCCTCGTCAAGAGGTGTTGTGATGTAGTGGATAATGGGGACATTTTTGTACCTCCTGATAAGTATCCCACCAATGCACACACGCACACCCACTCACACGCACGAACCCACACAAATAGTAAATTATTGTAGCTTTACAGTATGTGTGCTCTCTGAAATGCATGAAACATATTCAAAGACCCAATAACACTTTTTGCTCTGAACTAGAAGAGTAATACTTACCTCTATCTTTTCATTTATTTATTTATTTTTATTTATTTTGTTTATTTTATTTGTATGTATTTATTTATTTATTTACTTTATTTATTAACTAATTAATTTTTTTTTAATTTTTTTTTTAATTCTTATTATTTTTAATTTTTGTTAGGGGGGGGGGGAGGGAAACCCCTAACTGAATTACAAAAATTATGTAAGCTTTGGCGTTATGGACTCCTTCCTGAGGTCAAGATCTTGATACGCCATAGGTTTCGTTTGATTCTGTAGGAACTTATTTTCCATATTGAACTCAATACTATTTATTTGATTGCAGATGATCGGGTTTACTGGAGCAGAAATGTTTACAGCAATAATATTGAATCAGTCAGATTGAATGGTACCGATCGCAAATTATATTTCCCTAATGCTACGAGCAGTGATCAGTACTGGCGATTCCTGGTCAACGACGGCATGTTGTACTGGTCAGCAAAGAACACGCCGGGCATTGGTCGGGTCAATGTGACTGGGGATGATCTGAAGTACCACCCACCGGTGCTAGAGCTACGTGTAAAACGCGATGACGACGACGACGACGATGACGAGTCACTCGGGACGGTCCAACTAGGATCCTATATCGATTTCTATATCAATAGTGATTCAGGAAATGATTAACTTCGGAATGAACTACCACTAGACATAAGAAAAGCTCATCTGAAGCTTTCTTTGAGGTTTTGTTGAAGACGCACTCGATTGTTTTCAGGAGCTTTTGAATATTTGTTATTGTGTGTCTGTAAAGTATGGCACGTATGTGAGTTAATATAGCCTACTTTAGTCACACCGCTAGACCAAAACCGAATCGACCCGTTCTTATAATAATAATATTGGTAGTAATGATGGTAATGCTGATGATAATATAATAACAACGATAATAATAATGATGTCAATAATATTACTACTAATAATAATACTAATAATAATGATTGCATTGATGATTATAACGATGATTGTATTGATAATGATGTTGTTGATGATGATAATAATAATAATAATACTAAATATATTGACAATAATAGTAATGACGATGAGGATTACGATGATGATGGTATTGATGATAATAATGATAATATTTTTAAAAAAACATTGATAATACGAATGATGATGATAATGATGATGATAATGACGATAATAATAAAAGCCATTTCTTTTATTATATGGCGCCTTTCTTACCCGTTTCCACTGAACCGTCCAAAGCGCTTTATTGTTACCCGGTCATGGAAATCGATAGTGTGTTCGTCATATGGGGATATCTTAGTCAACCTTCTTTTGTGCGGTTTGTATATAAATCAAATTAGAGATGGAAATATTAACATATTGTTATCCGATCACTTCATCTTTTCAATTAAATGTAATGTTAATATATTGTTATTATATAATTGTGTTAAGTGGGGGCACGCTACAAGAGTCCCCGGGGCAACGTGTCTGACACGGCCGGTTGTAACAACTACTCCGAAGATCAAGATACTAATCTTGATCTAAGGAGACACGAACGAACGAACTGGATTCAATAGTGTCCGCCACTTGGGGATATATTAGTCATCCATCTTTAGTGCGGTTTGCTTATAAATCGAAATTAGAAATGAAAATGTTAACATTATTGTTGACCGGTCACTAAATTCAATATGGTGTTCGTCATATGGGCATATCCTAGTCAACCTTCTGTTGTGCGGCTTGTATATAAATCAATATTAGACATGAAAATATTAACATTATTGTTACCCGGTTACTGGATTCAATATAGTGTTCGTCATATGGGTATATTTTAGTTAACCTTCTTTTGTGCAGTTTGTATATAAATCAAAATTAGAAATGAAAATATTAACATTATTGTTACCCGGTTACTGGATTCAATATCGTGTTCGTCATATGGAGATATATTCAACCTTCTTTTGTGCGGTTTGTATATTTATTTATTATTTATTTATTTATTCAAGTGTTATTTAAATAGAGGGGAGGTACATTCAGTAAAAGACTGCTTTACAGGTTCTACATGAGATCGCCAAGGAGCTCTAAAATGTTTAACCGTCACCCCCCAAAATAGTCAGTCAATAGTTGTTTTATATTCCGCATCCCGCATCCAATTCATATATTTGTTTGGGGATTTATTCTCTAATATATAGGCTGATTGCGCGTATACATAGTTAATATCACGTGCGATGTATTTATTATTTTTATTACTCAAACTTTAGAAATACAAATATTAATCTGTCTGGTGTCGGTCTGGTCAGTGAGACTGTGATACTATTTGACCCTAGTTATGGAGAGGTCAAGTCATATCGCAAGACAGCACCCAAACCAAATGATAACCGACCAAAGTTACTTACTTGTGTATTTCCGTGTTTGTTTGTTTGTTTGTTGTTGTTTTTTTTTTTTTAGGGGGGGGGGTACATTTTCGTTTGATAACCTCTTTGTGTATAATAGTGAACGAGTGTACGATATCTGCCTTATAATGTAATATGAGCCGTCTAGTTTGCTTGTGATTACCTTACGTCTGTGACAAAGAAAATAAGAACGTAAACCTAGTGATGGTATGAAAATGACAAATTGATTAAATGGTGTCATGATTTTTGTTTGTCCATTATTTTTGGAATAAAGAAGGCACGATGAAAAAATGTACATTTGGCGCTTCATATACCAGTGGGCTACCACTCCTACCCCTTCCCGCTAACTCTACCGATGTACCACACTTAGTAGGCTTACAGCCCGAAACATTTCTATTTTACCAGCAAAACATATTAGTTGCATCCCTAGATGATAGCAATTACGATATCCAAGTTTATGGGAGGAACAATGGCTGATTTCATGAGGGAAGGGAGGGGGGGGGGGGTTGCATTTATCAAAATACTCAATTCCAATTATAGCAAACTAATGATAACATGACATAAGTTTGGAGATGATTGAGTGAATGCAATACAACTTCACAGAAATAACTTTAACGAGAATATGAATATAATGAATGCGAGAGCGCCCAATCCCCACCCCTAAAGTTCTTTCAGAACCGCTCCGGGGAAAGTTTTTTTTCTCTCTCTCTATCTCTCTCTCTCTCTCTCTCTCTCGCTCTCTCTCCCTCACTCCTCTTTCTTTCTGTTTTAATAAACCTCATATGGGGGCATACGGCAGACGATAAAGGAGAACCTGAGAGAGGGGGAGTTGGTTTCAAAGAAATAAAAGAGAAAAAAAAGAGATAGAAAAAGAGAGATAGAGAGAGAGAGAGAGAGAGAGAGAGAGAGAGAATGATAGAGATGGGGAGATAGAGAGAAAGAGATAAATAGAGAGAGGGAGAGAGAGAGAGAGGGTGGTGGTGGGGGGGGGGGGGTGAGGCAAGCTAGGGCCGGTCGCATCCCATACCGCCAATGATGGGATACTATACGATGACAGAGTGGTCAGGCAACGACATTATTGCTCCCATAAAGTGCTTATCAGATTGAAGGGAGCCGGGCAAATATTCGCGATCTTCCAAGGAGATGGTTCAGTAATCTTTTTGTGAATCCGACACCACTTACACAAGCCCTCCGCTGGATCGTTATCTGTGTATTATCAGTTTTTTCGTTGAATCAATGTAAGTATTTGAGACCATATTGATTGGTATATATTTTCTATATTATTTTGTACATATCTGTAGTACACTCCATAATTTCAAATGCTGAATAATAATTAAAAAGGCTTAGAAGTAAAACACATTTTTTAAATGATATATTCACACTTTAAAACACCGTGATTATGGGTTCATATAGTGTTGGATCCAGCAAGTTTATATCAAACATCAACATCGGCCCTTTTGAATATTTAACATTTGTGTTTTAGTATGACATGTATTGACTTGGTCATTACTGCCTCTAACGGCAATTGATAACCGTTATTGTTTCATACATTCTGTAATTGGCTGTTGCTTTTAACAACAACAAAATATTCATTAAAAGACCCATAGGTAAACAACCCAGGCACAAGAAAAGCAAGAGAGCAAAGACTTACACACTTAAAAGAAAATATGTGACGGTATAAGAAGCTTGCTGAGGATGAGTAAATAACTTTAGATTTTGTTCTGATGATATGAAATAATGACTACAGAATTATATTGATATGTGTACGCAATGTATGAAAAGAGATTCGACGGAAGCCATCGATAGAAAATAATGCCTTACAGTCAAGTGCTACTGAAACAAATTTAATATTTTAATATTGGTTGTCGTACTCTTTTCGGGGATGGGGGGGGGGGGGGGGTGGAGGCAGTGGGATTCTATGAAGCACAAATGATACGTATTTTATTCAAGACAAATTTTGAAACATCTTGGCATCAACAATACATTGACTGAGCGCTCATGAGGTCAAATATCACTCGTTTATAATTTTTCAGTTTTTGCCTTTGTTAATATCACGTAGCTTCAATAGAAACCCATGTGTTTAATTTTGGCACAGTTATAGCCTACTCTTATCGCATTTATTTATTTATCTATTTTTTGTTGGGGGGGGGGGGCTTTAATAAAATGGTATTATTTTATTCATTTCAGTATCAACCTATACTAACTGTGTGCTTTGGCTAATCTGCTATAGTAAGCCTGTGGTCAATGCCATTTGTTTGTAGTAACAATTCCTCGTAGACATGCAATTTAGAGTCGAAGGACATGTGTTTGTTTTTACTCATAAAACAAAACTCAGGTTTTATGGTATTTGTTGGCCATATACGAAGCCCTCCGTTATGTAACTGCGGGCAAGAACCAACTCTGGGAAGGAGAACGAGAGAAAGAGAGAGAGAGAGAGAGAGAGAGAGAGGAGGGGGGGGGGGCAGTTAATTGTTAGGATTTCACGTTGAAGGTGGGACAAAGGCGGATTTAGTACTTAGTTAATGAGAGCGCAGTTTTAGGGGGGGGGGAGGCGAATTAGAAAACAAAAGCGGGGCATGAACTAAAAAAGAGGGAATGTTTCTTCACTTCCGTTCTACAAGTGTAGGTATCACTTAGGTATCAAAGTGGATGGGTATTGAGCGATTTCGCCCATCCCTAACCCCAACCCTAACCCCCCCCCCCCCCCCCAAAAAAAAAAAAAAAAAAAAAAATATATATATATATATATATATATATATATATATAATATAATATAATAATAATAATAATACAAAAAATTATATATATAAATAAATAAACAATACTAAGAAAGGGAAAGCTGGTGGAGAAATATTAATAAAATGATGATTTTGAACATTTAAACTAACTTTAATTCCTTCCTTTTACAGATGGCATCGCTACACATTATTACATTATTGTTATTAGCGACAGCATCGAGTGTACAAGCAGGATTATCAGGTATGTGATCAGCCAAAGTGACCATGAGTGACTAGTGACTTTTTATAAACAGCTGAGGAAGAAAAAAAATCATGCGACTGTAAAAAAGAAGAAGAAGAAGAAGAAGAAGAAAGAAGAAGAAGAAGAAGAAGAAGAAGAAGGAAGGAAGAAGAAGAAGAAGAAGAAGAGAAGAAGAAGAAGAAGAAGAAGAAGAAGAAGAGGAAGAGGAAGAGGAAGAGGAAGAGGAAGAGGAAGAAGAAGAGGAAGAGGAAGAGGAAGATGAAGAGGAAGAGGAAGAGGAAGGTGAAGAGGAAGAAGAAGAAGAAGAAGAAGAAGAAGAAGAAGAAGAAGAAGAAGAAGAAGAAGAGGAAGAGGAAGAGGAAGAGAAGAGGAAGAAGAAGAAGAAGAAGAAGAAGAAGAAGAAGAAGAAGAAGAAGAAGAAGAAGATGAAGAAGAAGAAGAAGAAGAAGAAGAAGAAGAATACACCACTATCTAAAATAATATTTTCGTCTTCCAAACTCAGATCAGACCTTCAGTTGGGTCGACCTCTCCGCCGGCGTTGCGGGTACGGTCGGGATATGTGTCTTCTTTGTGGGCATCGGCTTCTTAATCCACGACCTGGGTTTCCGAGAGTACTTGGCAGAAGTTCGCACCAACGGGGAAACCTTCGCGCAAGATCTGCCCGACTTCATCCTTTCCGAGCCAACGCTCATCGGGGCGAAGTCCTTGTCGGAGCTCGACAAAGTTGACATTGATGATGAGATCGATCCACCGTCCGATGTGGGCGTAGTAATTGAGGACGAGATGCCGGTTTATGATGGGATGGCCGAGGCGTCGACAGGACTCTAAAATCTTAACATTTGACTTTATGTTTTGTAAAATCATCGTCACGGTTTTAATTTCATCATTTAATATCATTCTTGGATTCCATGATTCTGACATATAGGCCATCAATCAATCAATAAATCACTTTATTAATCAATGAATCAATTAACCATTAAATTAAAGAATGAATCTATCAATTAATCATTCACTCAATGAGCCAATAAAGTACTAGATATCTTCTGCAGTGTTTCATATGTTGGTCCATTACTTCATTTCAAATACGCGACTTCATAGATTAGATGTGTCATGTCTGAAATTATTACATCGAAATGCCTTGAGCACATTAAACTAGAAGCATAATGCGAAAAATTAGCACATACTGTAATCTTGCTGAATGTTAAAGATGCTATGTCCCTTTTGCAGCCAACATCAAATTCTGTAGATCTTTGTAGGAATTGTGAATATGTTCCTATCTGTGAAATTTAAACAGCAGTGTCCTCGTATTCAAATTATGCAAGGAAACCCTTTTACCTTCTAGACTTCACTGTCAGACACTATTGAGTGACTGACTGCCTTTTTCTTCTTCTTTGGTAACAACATACATACATGTACATTGTAAAGTGTGTTGGGCCTGCAAATGGGACATACTGTCATAGTGCCTTTAATGTTGTTTTTATATGATTGTGACAGTTTCCTGTTATCAACCACATCCGTCTTCCATTCACACGTTCACTTATGTATATCAATTCAAGACAACCAACCAATTAGGAACAAACTAATAATATTATAAAAACAGTAATTAAAACCCCAAAAGTAAACAAACTATAGTTCAGTGAATTCATGTGTCAACTCAAAGTGTTGCATCAAGTTTATTTACATCATTACCATGTAATAATTTATTTGCACTCGTTATAATAATATACATGTATAGCACATTTTGGCTTTATTACAAAAATAATTACATAGCATCAACCAACACACAATGTCCAATATATGTCTTAATATAAGATCTTAAGGGTACATCACACAGATTTCATATCGTTTTTTTTGTAATATTGGCACAATAAATTTAACTAATGTACATCTTGCCGTTTCAACTTGTTTACTGTGCTTGAAGAAGAGTGTATGGTAGTACAGTCAAACCTGCTTTGGTGACCACCTGTCCACAAAGACCACATGTTTTGTTTCCCTTTAAAATGGTTTCTGATTGAAACATGTACTAAAGGAACCTGTCTACAAAGACCACCTGTCTAAAAAAGACCACTTTTTGTGTTTACCTTGCTCGGTCGCTATAGACAGGTTTGACTGTATCTGACCATAATGTGAAAGTGTATTGTCTGCTGAGAGCCATGAGAGCATCAGGGTTAGCAACATAAAGTGACACAAAGAGACATCAATTATCTTTTCAATCACATCCATAGGCACCATATAACTTACCAAGTACACAGGACAAGCTACTCCTAAAGCTACCTTACAAACAAACAGAAGTAACTCTAGGAGATTGCGCTTTTAGTTGTGCTGCTCCAAAACTTTGGAATAAACTACCACTAGACATAAGAAAAGCTTATCTGATGCTGTCTTCAAAGTTGTTTTGATGACGCGCTTGTTTTCAGGAGCTTTTGAATATTTAAAGTTGTGTGTCTGTAAAGTAGCACTGTTACATGTAGGAGTTTTGTTTTCATCACAGCCAGTAGAGTTTATCTATAATTATCTATAAGTAGCTGCACTATATAAATTGATCTAATTATTTCAGCTACTCTATAAATTGATATAATTATTAGGATGTGTCCAGAAAGCAAAATATATTTTAGTGGAATATCAAAAGTTTAAGGCCTTGAGGTAGAAGCACCTCATAAGGACATGAAGCAGGTGAAATACATTGCACCTCTACAATCTTGGCTAGGTTAAAGAAGGTAATTCACAAAAAATACAAACAATTTTGCCTTTTGCATTCTGGATGCGACTCTTCGTGCCACTCATCTGAGCTATTGAATTCAATCGGTGCTCAACAAATAGTACATACATTGGAATATGACTGTATTTACAGAATCTGTGACATATTTCAGCTTCTTTACACAAGTGATATAAATGTACATGGACCCATTGGTCAATAAGAGTATCAAAGAAATTACTTGGACTATTCCAAACTGGACCGTTTAAGCCAAGTTCGAAACCGTCATTGTCCCCTTCACTAATTTTTTTTCAAGTAATCTTACTTTTTGGGGTAATTTATATTTTAATTTTGACATAAATTAATAAATTGGCAGATATGGATATTGGTGAGAAACTTTGTATACATGTAGGTATCTCTCTGTACAAGGCTTATATAAATATGAATTTGGGAAACGCTACCATCTTAAAAATTCTCCATTTGTAAATAATCATGTACAGGATGTTTGTTTTTATTGTAATCTCGCTGCCCAAAATAATCTGCTGTGACTAATTTACCCACAGCCCTGCAAAATAAAATAAAGACTTTGAATTTACCGGTATGCATTTCAGCCTTAATTGCTACACATATAATATGCTAGTTCCAAAACATCAAGTAACAATCCAAATATCAAGAAATGAAATCATATTTATCTGCTCAATATAACTTAGTGAATAATCTGTATTTGGGGCATTATTAAATATCATACAACTCATTCCTAAATCCTAATCAAAGGATTGGTCAACTGTGGTCACATGAGTTTCACTTTATATTAAAACTATCACATAGTGTCCAGCACTATGCAATGACTTACAAGTACACAATACACAACAGTGTGTATAGAGATCAATGCATATATATACTTTGTGTGTGTAGCAATGGGCATCAACACATGTAGAGGTACATTGTAAGTGTGCCATTAAAAGTAAGCATATTAAACTTGAAGTTTATTTTTCAGCGATAATGACACAAAACAATCTTTACATGAATTCCTTTTTCATCAATTAAGAAGATCTAAGAGTTTCCTTGCATAAAGCAAATGATGCATGTTTTCATTTGTTCATTACAGGTTCTATCCGCTCTTGTTGAGGCTGTTTATTTACCTGCAGCCTCAACTCAAGTGCAGATAGACTGTACTAAGAACTTGTTTTCCCTTGCATCATTTGTATATTTCAAGATATTTTTGAGAAAAATCCATGCCATGTGTCTGCAAACAGCTAAAAATACAATTTTCTGTGTACAACACTGAAGGAAGTCATCCTAATTAAGGAACGATTTGGCCAAAAGTATTATGCAACAGCATAACACAAGTTCAAAGCACATTAAATATCAACAATTTGCAAAAGGATGATTGCTACAATTATATTAACAATTGCATGATGCCCTGATTGGGACAATATATATATACAACTATGTCTTGGGTTAAGGGAAAGAAAAATGTAGCAAATCCAAAAATAGGCGGGCACATGTAAAATAAAGATGAAGATAAAAACACACAAAAGAAAAAGAAAACAGAAGATATATGCAAATACTATAAAAAAAGACTGTGGAGATAGATAGACAGATAGAGAGAGAAAGAAAATGAAAAAGAGAGAGAGAGGGGAAAAGAGGGAGAGAGAGAGAGAGAGAGAGAGAGAGAGAGAGGGGGGGGGGGGGGAATGGGGGAGAATGGGGGAGAATGGGGGAGATGGGGGAGAATGGGGGAGATGGGGGAGGGAATACACACACATTTATGGGCAGGTACAAAACATTTTATTTCATATGCTATCAAAATTATCAGTTTTGGTATACTTAAAATCAAGATGATGACCACACCAGAGCTTTATAACTACATGTATATAACTGTAGTTAACTTTTCATTTGGGTAACCAATAGAAGCCTAAAATGAGGTGTCGGGAGATGAAATCAGCAAACAGCCTAAATATTGGCGTCCTTAAATTAATGCATTGTCTTTCCATCTTCTTGAGAGGTTATCATATTGCATTCACCTCTCTGAATCAGTTCTAGGGCTACATGCCACTGCAGGACCTGGTCTAAGCATCATGTTCTGGATCTGTCATGCTTTGTATCCCCTGGGGCAGGCCTTGGTTGTGGCCACAGCTGTGCTGATGCGAGGTCCAGTCCTTGCGCTGACAGAACCCGCTGCAGTAGCTTACCCTGTGACAACCTGTGCACTCACTGGTTGCTTCTCTGCCACAGTTGGCGCACGCCTGCAGAAATAATGATAATAATAGCGGGTTCTTTTATAGCATTCATGTCTTCCATTATTTTACACTCCTGGTGCTCAGTAATTATTACCGTGGCTTTAGCTTGGCTGCCATTATGGTGCTCTAACATCTCAAGGAATTAATTCCTGCCAGGTACTTATGCAACCCACCTGGTTAGAAGTGAACAGGGAACAGGAAGACCATGTATTGGGATGGTGTCAGACTTGATAGGTAACAGATCATATGACATAATGAAAAAGAAGGCTTAAGATAGAGAGGGATGGACAAAGAACTAAAGAAGACTGGCTCGGTTGTGTGGACCTGCCCTTGGCAGCAGAACACCTGAGAGAAAGAGAGAGTTATGCTCTTGCAATGCAGGGTTATAGGACAATTACCCCCTGGACAATCACCCTCGGCCACAAATTCCCTGAACCCTTTAGTAGCAAGTAGTCGCAACCAGCAACGTGGCCTTTTACAATGCTAATCTTAACGGGGGGGGGTTTGCACTTAGAGCGAAAATTTCCACGTAGCGTCCAAACCTATGATGGTCTTTAGCTGTATTAGCGTCGGGAGTCGAGCTAGTATTGGGTGGCGAGCTCATCTAAATATCCCGTAGTCAGCATTTGCGTTGGCGTGCAAAAACTTGGTAATGACTAGGGGAGGGGAGGGGTAACTTTCTGGGGGGGGGGGGGGGGTAATTGTCCTTGAGGGGTGTTTTCCAGGGGGTGATCATCCAAGGGTTAATTGTCCTGATACGGCAATACAGACATGAATAAGGCCACTAACCTTGATGAGTTGAGATGACTTTGCTTCCGCTACTGCATCAATCTTCTCTGCCTGTGCTTGAGCTAAGGCCTGTGCTACTGCGTTATCCTTCTCGGCCTTCGCCTCCATCAGAGCTCTTGATAACTGCAGCTGAGCTTCCATCCTGGAGTCTGCCAGCAACTGTTGATAGTCAAAACATAAATGATGGTGATCATTTATCATATCATTTCTACTACATTCGCCATAATAAAGCACATGTAAAAGATATAAAAATCACGTGTAGAGGAAAAATCCTCACAGCAGCTTCTAAAATCAAAGGAATTTGAAAAAAAGTGTGTGAGAGCTTACCAAAATTGTACATGACCTTTAAATTTAACTTGTAAAGCTTTCCATCCCATGTCATAACATGGGATAGTTGAATGTTAATACAGTAATCATTTATCATTATTTATCATTTCATTTCTACTGTATTCGCCCATATAAAGCACATGTAAAAGATATGAAAATATACAAACACAAGCAAACAAAAACAATACAATAAAGAATACAAGAAATCAATGGGATGTGAAAATGCACATATAAAAGTGGCCAGAGGGAGATCAACAATGAGCAAAGAGCAACACAAAATAATGTTTTTTAAAAGAAGAAGAAAAAAATCACTTATAGAGGAACATTATTCACAGTAGCTTAGTGTTAGTTTTACCTACCTATGTATTATCTAAAATCAAATAAATCTGACGAAAAGTTTTGATAACTAACCAAACGTGTTACGTGTAAATGATCTTTAATCTTTATTAAGTTGTAAAGCCTATAGTCTCATGTCATTACCTGTTTCTTCTCCGTCTCATACTGGATCTTGGCTTGGGTAAGAGCAGCTTCTTTGCTGCTCTGAGACTGATGCTTGGCTTGGTCTATCATCTGCTTTAAAGTCTGTGCTTGCTGAATCAGCTGAGACGCCATCTGATTGGGGGAAGGAAAGTAACCATATGTGAACTGGGGAGTGTTTCACAGAGACTAACATCAATTTTAAGTTGGACTTAACTACCGCAGGCCGTTCATAACACTGTTTGCTCTCACCATTATGATTTTTTGATAATATTTTGTCCTTCAATAATGAGCATGAATTGTAAGTCCCTTGAGAGACCAATGCCAGGAAATGAGAGGCAAACAGTGGCATGAGTGGCCTGCCATAGTTAAGTCCAACTTAAATTCTCATACATGCCAACATTTGAAAATCAGAAATCTGTACAAATTATGCTATTTAAAAAAAAAAGAGGAACAATCCTAACTCTCCTATTCGATACTACAGACAAATTTGTACAGGAAGAGGAACACCTGCATTAAAATGATAATTATCTTCTCCCAAAAAGAGGAATGTTCCTCTTTAATCTGAACAGTTGGCATGTATGAATTCTATCATCTGCTTTAAAGTCTGTGCTTGCTGAATCAGCTAAGATGCCATCTGGATGGGGAAGGAAAGTGACCATATGTGAACAGACCATCTCTCAGTGCCATCAGTATATATGTACCCTAGATCCTTGAAAGGAGTATGAATTAAGGTGCATGAAGCACAAAGTTGTTTGCGTCTGACATTGAGAAATCTCTGGGGTTCTTACATGCTTTCTGGAGCAATCTTCATGTACAGGTATTGCAAGCAACCTTTCTAAACAATTTTAAAACCAATATCTATCTAACTAATAATAATTACTGTATAATTTTTATCTTCTATTTAGTAATATCTTCCAAATGCATATGGAATTTGACCTTTCAATTCTTTGGCCTACACATGGGACACGGTACCTTTAGACCCCTTGTGGACTCCCCTGATCACCCAACACCAAACAGCAACACAGAATTTCACAAATAATCCAGTAGGTTTTGACCTTTCATTATGCTCACCAAAGAAAGTAAGTGTGGAGCCTTGCTCATACATGAACCGGTATGTTTAAATAATAGGAGAATGGTAATTGGATTTTCGGGTTTATTGCTGTTTGGTCTACAAATGGTTTGTATATTCCCATACGGACTGCATCCAGCCTGTCCACTATCCATACGGTCTAATAATCCTTTAATCATAAATACTTATAATCATCAAATGATCATCAGACCTTATAGATAGTAGACAAGATAGGCATGAGACAAACTGGGAAGTAGACTGACTGGAAATTAGACAACATGTAAATGAGCAATAGACCAAATGGGAAATAGACTTATTGGAGATTAGATCAAATGGCTATCAGCCTAGATGGTCATTAGACTAAATAATTTAAATAGACAGAATGATTATTAGACCATGTTGAAAGTAGATGGGCTAAGTGTCTAGACCATAGAATAGACTGGAAATTAGACTACATGTAAATGAGCAATACTAATAGACCAAATGGGAAATAGATTTATTGGAGATTAGACCAAATGATTATCAGCCAAGATAGTCATTAAACCAAATGATAAGTAGACAGAATGATTATTAGACCATGTGGATATTTGATGGGCTGGGTGTCTAGACCATATGGGAATAGACTAAGTGGCCTGAATTCACAAAGGAGGTTTAAATTTAACCCATGGTTTAAAATTAGTGCAAAATGAGCACGAAACAGTCTGATGTCCAATGTTAGACCCGCGCAAGGCAAGGTTCGCTTATTTCATGCTAATTTTTAAACCATGGGTTATGTAAATGAGGGTTTAAACCGTACGTGGATTAAGCTAAATTATCCTCCTGTGTGAATTCGAGCCATTGGGTAGTAGACGTACTGGTTGTAGACCAAACAGGAATTCAGTGCTTCTCACCTCCTCCAGATGCCACCACTGCTGCATCTCCAAGTCAGGTGCTTTGGGAGTACTAGGGGTCATTGGGGGTAGAGGGGTCAGAGGGGTCAGGTTAGGGGTCATGGGGGCAAGGGTAGGGGTCATCGAAGCCAAGGTCAGGGCGGAGTCGCCCATGCCGAGTCCGTTCTGGCTTTCGAGGGACATGGAGCGCCCGTCTTCTGTCAAGGCAGCAACTGTATGGTGTAGTAGAAATAGAGAAGAGAATGAGATGGAGATAAGAGAAAGAGAGAGAGAGAGAGAGAGAGTGAGAGAGTGAGAGATAATGAGATGGGGCAGAGAGAGAGAGACAGAGTGAGAGAGTGAGAGATAATGAGATGGGGCAGAGAGAGAGAGAGAGAGAGAAAGAGAGAGAGAGAGGTGCAGAGAAAGAGAGATAGAGAGAGGGAGACAGAAAGAGATAAGGGAGACAGAGCGACAGAGTGAGAGAGAATAAGAGAACAAGGGGCAGAATAAATAAGAATTTAATATATTAAAACGCCAGCAGCAGAAAAAAAAAATCAGATACAGAGCTCCTCAATCCTCATATCTAATGAAATAGCATTTTCACAAATATGTTCATGTAGGTTTAGAAGAAGGTAAACCTAACAAAATGCTTCTGTAATAATTATTACCATCCAATTTATTGTTCAATATATATCTGAAATTCTGAATATATACTGTAGCATTCATTCTGTTAGTAGTGCACATGAAACACTATAAATAATAAGTGTTTCGTCTGCACTCCTAACAGAATGAACGCTATTCAGTTCAGTTTAGTTTATTCCAAGTTGGCCTGATCCAAAACAAAATAATAAACAAGCAATGACTATCATTATAAGGGGCTCACCATCTCTAAGTTTGGGCATTTTCTTCTTGAAGGAACACAATGTAGGCGTAGATGGCATGCTTTCTCTTTCATCCCGTTTCCTTCTTTTGTAAGGAACAAAGAGTCTGACTGGTCCTGACTGCGTGGTGGTGAAACAAGACAGCGATCAAGAAATGTTACATGTAATGATCAGCACAAATTAGGATGCTTCTTTGGGTAGATTTAAATGAAGTAGTGACCTAGGGTAATGTATGTAGAACTAATTGGCATGACATGTAAATCAGTATTGAAAACAGGTTCAACCCTAGAAAAAGACTGGGCTATTTTGAAACCTTTACAAAACCGGGAGAGGGGGGGGGGGGGGAGGGGCAAAAGGGCCCCCTTTCCAAGATCTCTGCAATAAAAACTCCAACTTTGTCATAATATAGTCAAACCTGCTTTAGTGACCACCTGTCTACAAAGACATTTTTTGTTTCCCTTGAAAATGATTTCTCATTGAAACATGTGAAGGAACCTGTACATTTAAAGCCAATCTGTACTAGTTTGGCCAGGAGGGATTAGACCACCCAGCAAGGTCACTGACTATACCTAATCACCTATTTACACCAGAGACTGATGGAGCTGGGCTCTGCTCAAGGCCTTAGGAATTGTGGTGAAGTGCCTGCAGACTATAAATCCTAGATACCTTTGACAATATGATAAATAAGGTCCTGAGCAATTGTTGAGCCATCCCCGTTCTTACCACTCCTTCATCATCACAGCAGGAGGCACATGTACAGGAGGCTGCATGAGGCTGTATGATGCCTTCCTCGATCAGACACTGAAGCGTTCGACCTCCGAACCTGATACTTCTCTTCCAGTCTTTGCTGTTCCCCCTCCCACAGAGGGACTCAAACTCTGACGGTGTGTACCACTGCTCATTGTATCGAACACATTTGCCTCTCCCACCTGTCAGTGCGAGGTAACAAACAAGAAAAAATAAATAAGGCCACTCAGAACATACTGTGCTATTAGCTATTCATGTCATTACACAGATACTGGACCAGACTGATGAAGAATTGTATTGTGGTTAGTTTGTGGTTATAATACTCATACACACCTCAACATCAGAGCTGCCACGTTGTATTTTGCATTTTCTGTATTCTTATCCCCCCAAATCAGTATTCTGACCCCAAAATCAGTATTTTTTCCGCGTGAAAATAATATGCATGCATATCGGCAATGTTTGATCACTTATTACATTTCCGTCCCACATGTACCGTTAATCTCTGTGTATAAGACGCACTTTTTTGCCGCTGAAAAAATTCAAAGTCGGGGTTGCGTCAATTTTATACACAGGTTAAAAAAAAACAACAAACAATTAAGTTTGCGATTATGCCCCTCCACTTGGCGCTATGCCTGGCAATGTCTTCAAGCTCAGTATTCGGAGTGTTGACTCACCACTAATAAACTAAAACAACACTCAAATTTGTCTGTCATCTTGGGTTGAAAGTAATCTTTCTGATAGATCTCAATTTGAAGTTTAAAATAATAATTTTTTCTTCTATTACACATGGCGTACCACAAGGTTCTATTCTAGAAGATTTGTTCTTTTCTTTTTCCGTATTTTAACATGAAAAAACGTACGTCTGTATTTTAAGTTGATTTCCGTCGGCCAATCCGTACTACTTGGCAGCTCTGCAACATGTACATGTACATGTTAACACAGTCATTATAATTGATGGACCATATTCAGTTAGTTTTCATGCTTTTGGGGGTGAAAGCCATTGAAACTATGCTATGGTCTCTATGGACACAGAAATGATTTTAACAACATTAATCATTTCGGTTTATTTCATCTAAAAATTGATTGACAAGGAATCTGAAAGTACCATACCCTCTTTCAGCATCTCATGTACAGTACTACTTTCTGCATTAACAATTTTTGGAGCGTCTTTAGAATACCCCCCCCCCCCCCCCAGAAAAATAGACCAGGCGTTATGTAAATACTTTTTTTGTCTCATTCAGTCTTCATTCTTCTTGTTCATTGTTTCTGCATTTTTTATTCTCATCGTCTCATCCATTTCATTTTTTTTTGTTCACCTTTACCAGCCAGGCTTCCAGTTGCAGCTTCTTGTGTTGTTTAAAAATATTGCTTTAATCTTATGTTTCAATGTTATTTAATTTTATAAATTTATTCATAGATTAATTATTATTTCTCTATCTGTCTATTCTCATCGTCTCTCTAGACTCAACTCCACTTTTAAAACTTAGAATCTTGTCTAATCAGTTGTTTCAGCCAGAGACAAGGCGAAGCTCTTTCCTTTTAATTTTTCCATAATCTTGAAGCATAATTAACCATTTTCTCTTTGATTTTGTTTCTTTTAATTTGGTTTACTTTGGGGTTGAGACATTTACGGTATGCTTTTTTAATATTTTAACTGTTGGTTACATTGATAGAGTTGTTCATTGTCAGTAGGGGTGCTGGTCCGAGAATAAGGATCGACCGCATAAATGAGGATCATCTTTGTAAACACGAACAGATGCCTCCTAAAAAATTAAGGTTTGTCGCGCATGATTCTTATTTCCGATCCGTGCATTGGCGATGCGAAACAAGGATTCCGTGAAAAAAAGGTGCGAATATGCTCCTTGATGCATTTCACACTTACATTGCGTAAAGATTTTCATGATATGAATGATGAATCTTGGGTAGACGCCTAGACGGTGAACGGGGGCCTCCTTTATTTGCATTGCCATACCCACACTGGCACAGACATCGAAGAAAAAAAAACTTGCGTGAAAATGCGCATGGTCCTTATTTTTAAGGATGCGATTTAGACCTATCCATGTTTTTGAGGATATCCTTGTTTATGCTGATGAGCCTCGTTGTCGGAACAGCGCCCCTACTGATTGTTCATCGACATTATCATTGAGTTGAGTATTGACTTGTTTTACCTTGTTTCACTACCACTTTCAAATGTCATCACATTCAATCAATCAGATCACATTCAATCATTCACAATCACAGTCATCATGTCACCCCCCGCCCCCCCCCCCCCCCCCCTGCTCCCCCCTTCTGTTTTAAAAACTGTATTAGATCTAGTTCTCAATTTAGGAAATCTGACACTTCCTAACTAACTTGCATGCCATTAATCTTTAAAGTCAAACCTACCAGAACCTAATTTTGACTTGAAAAGTTCTGCACCGGTGTTCCTGCATCTCACTGGCAGGACGTCCAAGTGTACGGTGTCGTCCCATGTGTAGTGCCGCTTCTCCCCCGAAGGCGACGACGGAGTGCAGGGGGTAGCCGGTGTCTTTAAACCATCAACAAGAGCAGCAGCTGCGTCTGACTGCTGCACCACGGCAATAATTCTTGACTTCAATGGGGTATCATCCTGAACTTGAACCGGTAATCCATTAGCAGTAAATATTCCAGTAGGTGTTGCAGCAAAAACATGCTCGGTAACTGCAGAAGTACTAATTTGACCAGACGATACTGAAACGGAATCATTCGTGAAGGCAGAGTCGTCGGCACTTGGACTCGGTAGTCCTTCGGAGATGTCGGTAATGCCGACCGTCACTTCGGTAACTTCTGTGTTTTCCATCTCTTCACCACTGTCCCCCATTTAAGCGGCTATGTTTGACCGGAAACTGTAGAACAGTAACACACGCTCGGATCCAAATGGAAACAATGTATCAAAAGTGCGATTTTTTAGAATTAAAATTGTTAAACACTATGGTCGGGAAATTCCGTAAAACACTCGCAATATGGCTCCCTTTCGTTTTCGGAGACTCATTACACATGCGCGGTAAAGGTTACTGAGGATCGTTCCATGTTTACTTAGGGGTGTAAAAATTGCATTATTCATCTTACTCGATAATGTTCGTAATTTCATTCATTGTTTTGCCGTAAATTAATACAAAAAAATCTAAGGTAGTACCAAATATATAAGGGAAGAAATCAAATTTATTTTAAAATTACGATGAATGAATAAATAATTTACAAAAAACTCGTTAGACTCCTCCGGCTCCATGATGAGAGTGCGCCAACCTTTGTCGTTTCAATAATTTCTTCCGAGAAATGAGATGGATTACAATAAATTCGGGATTTCCAACACTACGACAACAAGATGACAGACAATTTATTCGGTTATGGCGGGGACTTACCTGTAAGTACTTTGTGTGTTAAGAGATGTGAAGTGGAATTGAATTTCTTTTGAAATAAACAGTACACAATGAACAAATGATATTCAAACTGCAATAAAAATGAGCATGTGTGTCCGACATATGCTTTTCTGTGTAAGTATTAATTGCAATATAAATTGGGGAGAATCGAGAAGGGGGGGGGGGGGGGGGGCTACAGAGAGACGATGACAATGATGATGATACATGGTGATGATGATGAATTTAGAGCATATCAGTATGGCCATATTTCCAATGAAAGGTAAAGAGAGAGAGAGAGAGAGAGAGAGAGAGAGAGAGAGAGAGAAAAGAACATTTCTCAACCTAAAATTGTAAAAAATTGAGTCAAACTCGAAGAAATAGAGTCTAGATTTCTAGAGAGCGATACATAACAAGCTTTTACAATTGTTTCATTTCCAGCCTCTAGATGAGGGACCCGATGAGGAGGATGATGGAGAGTTTTATGATACTGTTAACGATGACACCTTTGGAACAGGAGCAGAAGGCAAGTAGTCTGAATGGCATGCGTCAGGAGAGAGGCACACGGTCGATTTTAGGAGATGCTCCCATTTGAGTGACTGTCAAAGAGCTTACAAAAGAGCAAAAGAAACAAAACTTCTTTTTTCTCTGCCAAAGATTTGCCACTGAGGGATGAGCTCGGCTGCTCATTGATAACTGGTTTTGTGTGTAGATCATAACAAAGGCTCTTATGAAAACAAAAATAGATGGTGAATTTTTTAATAGCAGTCAAAAGAGGTAATATTTCATGAGGAATCGACTCATACCTTTCACAAAAATTGACCTTGCATACCTTAATTACCAAAGCTTCTGGAAGAAAGCCGTCTCCAGCTGCCAAGCTTCCAGGTCTAACTTCAAGGGGTCCCAGCTTCCGGTTCTTGCACCATAGTCGTTTTACATCTGTATCTAGCTTGCTGGGTCATATCAGGAATCAAGATTCAAGATTCAAGATTTTATTGTCCATAATATAATACAGAAATTTGTTTTCCATTGGTATAACATGTAGTACATAAAACATAAGACAAAAACATGGTGTCGTGTGCTGAAAGCCAGAAGGGCGTCAAGACTATATAAGAAAAAGTCTATGAGCAGGTATGGTCCTCTGGCTTTTAGCACAAAACATGACAAGACAGTTATATGACTTATACATAGCAAGAATTTTAATACAATTCTGAAACACATCATGAATAAATTCAGGTATGAATATAGATGTGAATATGAAAGTAGAATAGGAGCAGCATCACAATCGAAATACGAGCAGAAAGAGAAAGGAAAAGAGAGCTCAAGCTCGAAGGACTGATAAAAGAGAGAAATATAGGGAGAGTTGGTAAGGGTCCAAAGGGAAAGGGGAGAGATAGAGAAGGAGAGATGGCATAATTTCCAATCAGATTATAATGCATGACAGAAAAATACAACGAAATCAGCAGCAGAGCTAAACAACAGATGTTTTGACCCACAAAGGTGATAAGGTGGAAAACTTTCCAACCCAATCCCTAGTTTATTTACTGGGTGGGTAGAGAAAAAGTTAACAAATAATCATAATCGCTATTGTTTTGCTTAAAGCTGAGAATTTTGTGATACTTGTACTTGTGCATGGAATTTGGAATAAAAGAATTTCTGTATCTGGCTCTACGGGTAATTGGTACACGCAGGCGGATTCCTGAGCGGTTAAAAGTAAAACAAGAAAATAGTGAATGTGATGGGTCTTTCATAATAGAAGTTATTTTAGTCAATAAGCATTCTTCAAACGAAACTGATAGGGGTGGTAATTCAATGCCGATAATACGTTGAGCAATTTTCCTAGGACGTTCGAGTTTAGTTTTGTCTGCTTGTGTGAGATTTCCATAAAAACAAATGAGATTGAATAGAAGAACACTTTGAATGATAGACTGATAGAAAAGATGCAAGATCGTCCTGTCAGCGTTCAATTTTTTGAGCTTCCTTAGAAAAAAACATCCGTTGATTACATGTAGCTCTACTGTGTACAGCGTTGGTGTTCTTATTAAATCGTAGCTTATCATCAATCAAGGTACCAAGATACTTATATTCATGTACGTGTTTGATTGCCTGTTCATGAATATACAAAGGGATATGATTAACGTCACCACGTCGAAAGTCTATAATAATCTCTTTGGTTTTTTGTACATTCAAATATAGGTTGTGTCGATTGCACCATTCAACAAACTGATTAACTTGACAAAAATACTCATTCTCACTATTTCCTCCCTTAATGAAACCTGTGATGGCAGTGTCATCAGCATACTTTATAAATGAACAACATTGACTGGTACTAGTGCAATCAATGGTATACAGTGAAAATAACAGGGGAGAAAGGACACACCCTTGTGGAGCTCCTGTATTGGTTACCAAAGTAGGTGATTTAATATTTCCAAGTCTTACTGATTGTTGTCTATTTGTTAGAAAGTTATGAACCCAGAGCACTATTTTAACATCAACCTCCATTTCTATCAGTTTATTTATTAAAAGATGAGGAGTAATAGTATTAAAAGCACTAGAGAAGTCAATGAAGGTACATCTTACATATGATTTAGGGATATCTAAATGACTATATATTCCTTGAAGAAGGACAAGAACAGCGTCCTCAACTCCCCTATTCTGTCTATAAGCAAATTGAAAGGGGTCAATAAATGAGCCAGCTTGACTCAAAATCAACCTTTCCAAACATTTCATGACATTAGATGTGAGTGCTACAGGGCGAAAGGCATTCAGATCTGTGCTACTGCCTTTCCTATTCCCTTTTGGAACTGGTATAATTGAAGATGTTTTCCATATTTGTGGTATTACACCTAGATCCAAAGTTAACTGATATAATCTCGTAAAAATAGGAGCTAATTGTTGATAACAAGTCTTAAGAACCCGATTTGAGATGCCATCAGGTCCAGTGGCCTTGTCTACCTTTACTCTAAAGATGGTCCTCACATCTAGCTCTGATATTACAATGCCAACATTACTTGTGATTTTACTTAACAAGGATTTACTCAAGCATTCATTTTGATCATGAAAATCATTGCAATCAAATCGTGTTTAAAATAAGTTGTAATCGTTTCCATAGCTCGCCATGATGCGCGACTATTGTTCTGTTGAAAGTCTCGTTTCAGCTTACATTTATATTCGTGCTTACATTTATTAATCTGACAATTTATTTTTCTTTGTAGTTCTTTAACCGACGAATTATTGCCATCAATAAATGCTTTCCGTTTATCCTGTAGTAATTTCTTCAACTCACTAGAAACCCACGGCTTATTATTTGGATATATCTTCACCTTCTTGCTTGGTATCAGACTATCAACGCAGAACCGTATGTATGCGGTGATCCGTGATCGTGTCAACAGCCTCTTCAAGGGAATCAGCCGCGTCCATGAAAACGCTCCAATCGGTGCAATCGAGACAACTCTGAAGCCGCTCAGCTGTATCGGTGTGCCATTCACGGCTCACTGTGTTGATGGTTTACTTCTTTTCAACTTTTGTTTGTATTTAGGAAGTACATGTAACAGAATGTTGTTATGATCGGAGGCACCCAGCTTGGGACATACCTTTGCATTGTATGCTCCTGCGATGTTACCATAACAAAGATCCAAAATTGAGTCATTGCGCGTGTGCTGTTTTACATACTGATCATACGTAGGCAAGACGGTATCCAAGGTACACTGATTGAAGTCACCCAAGATAAATTTCGGCGCATCTGGTGAGATAACTTCAAGTTGGTGAATTTGTGTACCAATATTCTCACTAGCAATGCATGTGTCTGCTTTCGGATGGATATACACAACCATAACAAAGATTTGATTGAATTACCTCGGCAGATAGTACGGACGAAGTCCAACAGTGATAAATTCAAAATCTGGTGTACAGACCCTCTCTTTAATTGACCAGTTATTACACCAATTTTTGTTAATGTACATACAAACTCCGCCACCCTTAGATTTACCGCTATCCGAAGTCCTATCCCCTCTTATAATATCGAAGTGAGGTAACTCAACTGCATTATCGGGAATATCTGAATGTAGCCACGTCTCTGAAAAACATAAGACACGATTCACGAAATTCATAAAGATGACGGGTAGAGGCATAGAGTTCATCCATCTTATTACTCAGAGATCGGACGTTTCCAAAAAGTATTGTCGGTAAAGGAGGGTTTGACTTACGTCTCCGTATACGGCTTCGTAGACCACCTTTTTTCCCGCGCTTTCGGGTTTTCACCTCACGCGGAAAGTCATCGTAACCGTCCGGCTACGTGGGTGTGGTTCTCGGGCGAAGGTCAAGCAGCTCAGAACGTGTGTACGTAGTGATTCTATTCGGAACAAGAAAAGAGTTTGTACAGGTGAAAAGAGGGGAAAGGAGCAGAAAAATGAAGATGCAAGTGATGCTGGTCGTTCCTGACGTAATACTAGACATGATGCTGACTTCAGAAGAACAAAGCAAACTTGCAGAATCACAAAATTAACGTCCAAAACGACACACAAAAATACCAACAGTAGTCGCCGCAGTATAGCGCCCTCATTGTCAATGAGACAATGTCATAATTGGAGTGTCTACTGGGAGAAGGGTGAAGGTGTTTGTCAAGTCTGGCTGTAAAGCTCATCCTATTTGTCATCCTTAAACTTTTTACATTTTTAAATACTTCTCAAAAATGCATAGCCAAATTTTAACTTAACTTGGTAGGAATCATCCTTAGGCAAGTTGTTCAAATATGGTTCAAATATGGTATATTCCCCAAGCGGGACTAGGGGTGCAGCACCCCCAAAGTTCCTCTGCCTCTGCCTCTGTGACAGTAATGTCCACATGGCAATAATCAGACTTTTTTTTTAATTAAAAAAAAAAAAGGCCTTTGTTTAACCCTCGCATCCACCATCCTTCATCCTTCTTTCATAGTACTGTGTCAATTAATTTGTTTATATTTATATTGTTTAATTTATACTGATTTGTTTGTATATCTTCTGATGTGTTTTTAAAGAGATGTGAAATAAAATTGAATTGAATTGAATGTATAGATATTGATTCAAATTGAATAGAAGCATTCCTCAGGCAGGGGGATATAAAATTGTTCTGAAGGGCTACTGACCCCTCAAAGCGGTAGGGGGCTTTGGAGTAGCATCCCCCCCCCCCAAAAAAAAAGAAGTATGCTCTCTTGCGTACATTTTTGACTTTTTCTTAAAAATGCATGGCAAGCTTTTGATGTAACTTGGTAGGAATCATACAAAGGCATCTTTCAAATATTATATATTGAAGATTTGTATCTGTCGTTCTACCATTCAAATTTTGTGTTTCTAAATTATTTTCCTTTTTTCTTCAAACGTCTACTTCTACATGTAGGTGGAGATTGGGTGGATACTCATGAGCGTATGGCAGGAGAGTTCCAGTTTGGTACCAGCAGTACACCAAGGGCACAAGGACAAGTGAGGCAGCAGGATAACATGGTACCCTTCTTTGAGGTAAGAACAAAGAGCCTTTTAATAGATTGCAGGAACAAACCCTATTCAGGTGTTAGATATAACAGAGTGCCTGACGTCTATAAAGCCCCACTGTCTTACTTGTAGCTACTTGCTCCCTTAATATAGAAAACTTCCCCAATCGGTGCCTGTTGGTCCCCCATGATCCTCTTTTTCTGATGTTAGTTGAGAGCTGAGTTAATGAGATAGCCACCTGTCAGTGACCTCGCTGTGTGGTCTAATCCCTTTGGGCCTAGTAGTGTAGATAGTCTTTAAAACTAGGTTTACTTCACCTCAACCCCCCAAATAACTTTAGTTTAGAGATTTGTTGATATAACAGAGTGTCTGAAGTCTTAAAGCCTATCTGCACTAGTTTGGCCAGGAGGGATTAGACCTCCCTGCATTGTCACTAACAGGTGGTCATCTCATCAAATCAGCTCTCAATTAACGTAAGAAAAAGGGGACCATGGGGACCAACAGGCATCGATTAGGCATTGTTGGCTGTATAGAGGGCGCAAGTTGCTACAAGAAGTGCAGTCCCGCTTTTAGACTAGGTATACTGCATGGTCATGGTGTACTAAACTTCATAGGCTATGCACTAAAGCCGCTTCTGACACAGCCAGAGACTCGAGAAGCTAGGCTTGGCTCTTAGCTTCATTGAATTCTGTTTGAGACATTGTCAGAGCCATGTCACATGGCTGTGTGATTTGACTATGCTCCAATTTTAAAAGAAATTTCAATAGCAATTTGGAAATGTAAACAAATGAAATTTTCTTATTTAGGTTTTTCCAATAGGTAAACATAAAAAATGTGGTGCATTTGAAAGTCCTCTTATTGAATGATAGTCCTAATACCACTATCATACCACCAAAATGACTCCAAAATGACTCCAAACCTTGGGATTCTTGGCCTTTTTTGAAGAAAAACAAATCTTTTTCAATCTGGTGTCGGTTGTATGTTTGTGTTATCACTGTGACTAGGAGATCGCAGGCTGGAAATCATATTCAAGGAAACCTCAACCCCCCAAATACAACTTTAGTTTAGAGAATTGTTGAATTCTTGGCCATTAATCTACAAGATTCCCCATCAAAGTGTACGGGAGAGGTACAAAGCAAGATATTCTTAGCATAATGTACAGTTTCTCAGCACGACATGGGCATCGCCATTTTCTTGATAACGTGACGTACTACATGTAGGCAAAGTCTTTAATCAAGTAAATGTATCTTTTTTTTGTTAAACCAAAAAACTGTCTGATTCCTTTTGTTAACAGGAAGAGGACTTGGAGAAGAGTATCACTAAGCTAGTTCTGGATGAGGAAGAATCATACTATGATCCAGCAAGCAGAAAGGCTTCCAAGTCTAAGCCCATTTCCATCAAGGTATGTATTTTCATGTCACACCCCCCCCCCCTCCCCCCACCCCCCCAAAAAACTTATTTTAATAAAATCGAGAGCTCTTCTGGTCTCTGAGCCAAAAATAGATGGATCCACTTTAAAAATTACAGGGGGTCCAGCCGGGCACCTAAGTTCTTTGAAGATTTGAGATTTGAGGGTAAACCGGGTGGTTATTGGCACTTTATAAGTAGCCATTATCATTATTATTACATGTAACGTTCCTGTGTTATGACAAAAATAGTCATCTACATTTATATATAGTGCTTAATACAAGCTACTGTCTCTGAGCGCTTAACATATTATTACCCAGTCATGGGATTCATTCACGCACAATATGCACCATCTCCACTCCCTGGGAAGTATTCCCACCATATGGTGACCATGAGGGCATATGGCAATTACTATTAAACAAAAAGGCTTTCATCATCCGGCCATCTCTCCTGGATATGGAGTGGGAAATGTAGATGTATGCCTTGGCAAAGGACATTTCTGTCGTATCGGGGATGAGGCAACATTCAACTATGTCCAACTGCTAAGAGTGGCTAAGAGACATACATGTATGTAGTGTAGTGGTAGTTATTTACTGCTAAGAAAGCATAAGTGCTTGTTAGTTAAAGCAACCTGAGGAGCAACAGCTTTAGGTCCTCTCTGAGAGACTTGGTAATGAGGATTAATGCCTAGCACATTGCCTTGGTTTCAAACCCGGGTCGCCGGATTAAGAGACCACTGCTCTACCAACTGAGCTATCACGCCTCCGTGATATCCCTAGTGTGATTTTAAACTAACTCTCTCCTAAACCTCTCTCCATCCTGCAGGGTGGCGGGGAGTCCAGCATCAGTCAGCTGTTTGGTCCAAAGTCTCCGCCTTCGCTCTTTGACACCTCGGACTTCATGTCTCCGACCCGCAACATCTGGGGCTCCCCGGAGGTGCATCAGACCGTGGAGATGCCCCAGAAACCTGCAGTCTCTGCCACCGAGGAGCGCCTGAAAGCCATGCTCCATATTGGACAGAGTTCCCTAGGAAAGCCTGCAGAGGATGGCTGGGAGGTGAGTAATGTTTACAATTAATATGCGTAGGGGGTGTTTCACAAAGATCCTTAATTGAACTTATCTCTAAGACGGACTTAACAGTCATGGAAAGCCATGAGCATATTTTGTATAAGTTATTTTAAAAGGCATAAAATGTTGATTCAAATCATTCATATTTTCTATTATCATGGGAGATTTCATGTTCTTGATGTAAAATTCATGAAAAGTTTAAAATACTTGAATTTTTGTGTTTTATAGGGATCAGTGACAAGTATGACACGTAATTTCTATTTCTCCAAAGTCTTTGATAATAGCTGATTGTTTGAAGTTTTTCTTTTCAAACCCACTGTTTTTTATTTGTATATTTGAACAGTTGTCTTTTTGACCAGACCAGATTTTTATCTGTCATGGTTTCATTGTACGATAATGTAGATACCGGTATGATTTGTGACTTGATATTCTTTTGTATTAATATGTATCCTCGATCATTGTAAACACAAACATTTTAGCTTTTTAGCTGCAGCATGTGCATCATTGTACTCTGTTTTTTTAAATAAAACCTTGCATTGAATTGAAATATGCATCCGTTTTCAGGATCCAGCTATTGTCCGAGCAGTCAGCGATTCCCAGCCTGTCAAAAAAAAGGTCATGTCCCTCGCTGAACTGGAGCAGGAGCTCATAACGGGACGCAAGCCGATGCCCAGCAAGGCCCTACCCGCCCGGTCCGTCTCTCCGGAGATCGGCTCCCCGCCCGTCGTCATTCCACTGCCGATCGGCACACCCCCAAGAGGTTCCATGATGCACCATGCTAGACTCCCACATCATGCGGCAGAGCAACAGAAACATCAGCAGTTACCTCAGCACATACAAGCTACGCCACAATCAACACCTCCACCGATACAACAAAAGGTACATTTTCTGGGGAAGATACACTCTAAATGTATCCTTTTTCCTGTGTGATTTTATTTATTTATTTTATCTTGTTTTCAAATCGTTTGGGAACTCACTTGCAAGCACCAAGAGAAGAGATATTCTAAATATATCCTTGTTCCTGTGGGATTTTATTTATTTCTTTATTTTATCTTGTTTTCATATTGTTTGGGAACTCACTTGTGCCAACATATATTAATATTTTCACAAGGCTTATTCACCTGTATTTTATGTTGTCTACAAATCTTTGTAGACAAATGTATGGTGAGGGTTATCATTTTTGCTTTAATGTTTTTTTCAAGAGCTATTTGGTGTACATAAGCTTCTTAGAGCCACGTTTGAAACTTTTACTCAATCCACATACTCTTTTTGCTGTAAATGTAATTTGTAAATAATTGAAAGTGTGTTAGCTGATTTGATTGTACTGTAGGAAATAATTACCTTCTCAATAACATGTCATTAAAAAAAGAATTAGAGACTTTTTATTAGTTATAAGGAACCTGTTTACTCAGTACCATTGAGTTGAACATGTATAAAGTACTAAAGTGTAAAAGTTGCCGGTTCCAAAGAAATTTGTGCTAAACAAAACCGAATATGCCCAGCTCCAGCCAGTTGCTTGAAAATTTTGCAGTGAACCTCATGTGAAGACTCTGTTGTTTAGAACCAGTAACCTTGGTAACAAGTGAGTATGATGTTAGCACAAGTTCCAGTACACTATTGATGTATTTTCGTGTTTGTTTCTTTCAGACTCCTGTTGTAGGGCAGTCTCCTCTCGTTCCAATCCACCCCCAACAGCTGCAGCAGCTCACCCGCCAAATACACCAGTCCATCGGAGGGAGGGTATCCCCAACCCAGATCAGCCAGCTCATCGTACGCCTCCATGCCATCGGTGGGCGCATCTCCCCAAACAGCATCCGTACGGCTGTCTTCACCTCCATCCCCCCTCCCCCACGCCCCCAGGGTGCCAACGCGGCAGGGTCGCCGGCCTTCCCGGGGAACCAGAGGATGCCGTTCAATGCAGGGTCACCGCGGATGCCGTACTCCTCGTCTCCACGGGGGATGCTGATGGGGTCGGGCATGGGTTCAAGTCCTGGAGCTAACACCCCTCCCATGCATATGGGGGCTGGTAGAGGGGGGCGATTCCCGAGAGCAATGTATGGCCTTACCCCTATGAATCCAAGGTAAGGAAATTGTATGATTTTAATAATAATAATTATAATAATACTCAGCTTTTATGTAGCACAAATTACAATTAAGTCTCTAAGCGCTTCCAAACTTGGAGATTATTATCCTGGCTTTAGTTATGCTGCCATTTGGGTGCTCACATCATTCAAGGAATTCCTTCCTACCTTCCTACCGATCCCCATTTACTTCACCTGGGTGGATTGAAGCAAATGTAGATCAATATCTTTCCAAAGGACATTAGTGCCGCGGCGGGATTCGAACCGCGGACCTTGTGATCGACAGTCCGGCGACGTATCAACTTGTCCACAACACCTCCAAGTCTGTGACCTTAGACCCCATACCCCAATTCTAATCTGTTCAGTTGATCATTTTCATGTATATTTGAGCCAATGTTGGGTAAATCATCTCAATGTTTTTCAAGTTTTTGCAGTGTCAATACTATTTGTAGGTTTATACAATATGCATAAATGGCAATATACAGATGACACAGACACAGACTTTGAGTGTGGAACATCCGTGCAATCTACGTCACACTTAAAGATGCCCACACCTAGATAGCCAATGCTGCCTGGAAGACCTAGTGGCAGCAAATGAGAAGGCCCTTCAGTGTGCAAGAGCCTGGCAGAACATTTGAGCTTAGATGATGGACATGATAGAAGAAGAAGGTTTTCATACAAATTATTGATTTGTTGAATTGATTGTATTTGTAGGATTCCACCTGTGCACTCTAGACCAGACCAAGCCGGGATGAACAGACGCTACCCCTACAGCCCACAGCAGAGGAGCCCTTATCCAAACATGGGGTGAGCTACACACAAATAACAATATTTATAATAATAATAATAATAATGTTAGGTTCTTTTATACCACTTATATTTGTCAGCCTTGAGACTCTTGGTGCTCCGATGATCATTCATAGGGAATTTTTTATCAATTTTTTTTTTTCAACCTTCCCCATACACCGATGGTATACCTCTAAAATTGGAGTGAAAGTTTGTCTCAAGTTGTTTTTTATCTTGGACTTAAATGTTCTAATTTTGAAAACGGTATTTAGAAGAAAAAAATTAATCAAATTTTCATAAACTATGAAAATAATATTAAAAATCAATTCAATACTTCAACTATATCAGCCTGTATTTAGTGCGACAGGTTAATTGCAAATTATTTTTGCTTGACCGGGCGACGTCACAATGCTCATCAGTACTTAGTAAGCATGGAATTTGGCTTTCTAAAGTAGAATCCTCAGATGTTATCTGAACAAAAGTTATGACATATTATTAAGCCAAGTTAGATACTGACTTAATCTGTTTACTACTTTAATTTTGAAAACAGGCCCTTAACTAAACTTTTTAAGACTATCTCATTCAATCCTACATGTTTGAAAAATACTGTCTCTCATATTCATGAACAAAATTCATCTTTTATATCTCTTCAGGAAGTATGACCGCGACGGACCGCGAGCCCAGCGTCAGATCCGCTTCCCACGAGGCGGGGGCGGGGATAACCAGTACCATCGTCGTGGAAACCGAGGTGATTATGACGAGTACTCGTGCCTGATGTCGCAGAAGGAGAAGGAATGGGTGATTAAGATACAGATGCTGCAGCTGACCTCCAACAATCCCGCTGTGGATGACTTCTATTACCAGGTAAGAAATAGCAAACAGGAAATGAAGAAATAATTATATAAATTATATAATGGATAGCAGTATATTTTTTTTATTTTTTTTTTTAATTTCCAGGCAAGATGATAACAATTACATACAAAACATCACAAGGTTGACAAAATGATATAACATTTGCATAATGATACTTAGCACCAGCCAACAATACCTTGGGATCACCTAAAAGAATTCAACAATTCTGTCGAGAGGCTCTCCACATTGGCTGGTGCATACATAAAACAAAATATAAAGATAAGGTCAACATATACATGAATGTGTAACTAAAATTAACCCTCATATCAGGTAGTAGGTAGTGTTACAGAGAAAGCGAATGGATGGGTCATGAAGATCCAGCTTTACAACTCAATTTAAAACATGATCAAGGGGAGTGTTTCACAAGACAAAGATCAAATTTAACCCTACGAAATTTCGCAACTACTCCGAAACCGCGGCAAATATAAAATTTTCCTTTCATGACTTTTTTCTTTTGAGTCTTACGCATCTTTTAAAACAATTTTTTCGAAAATTGGACGTATAGTTACAAAGTCACGTGACCTTTTGTCTTCGCATGTCAGCCTGAAAATCGCTCATTTTTGTGATTTGTGTACAAAACATATGGAAATGTCATTTTTCCTAAAAAGAGATAAAACATTGGTTATTTAGTCTTGTTTAAAGTTTAGGTGTTTGTTTTGGGGTCAAAATAGTTGAATTGTAGTTATAAATGAAATAAAAAAACGAAAACAACAAAAACAATGAAATACATAAGTTAAAAAACAATGAAATACATAAGAAATTATCAAAACAAGAGATAACATAAAGAATAACCTGGCTCTTCCAATTTTTTGTGTTGTATTATTATTCCAAATGGTCTAACAAATATATGTAGTGAAAAAGAATGCTTAAATATGAATAATGTATGACCTTATTTGCATAAATTACCATAAATATGCAAATGAGTGAATTTTTCAAAAAATTGAAATAACCATAGTATTTTATGAAGTTCACTTGACATGTATGCACATTTTTGCGGCGATCGGCAGTGAAACAGCCGAGATCTTGGGGGGGGGGGGGGGGTCAATTTGACCCCCCCCCCCCCCCCCCCCCCCCCCCCCAGTAAAAACCTGGTCTGAAATAGCCCAGTTAAAATAGGGTTAAGTTGGACTTAAATATGGCAGGCTTTCACCATTTGTTCATTACAGGACCTATCCGCTCTTGTTGGGGCTGTTTATGCATTTATCGTACTCGGCCTGACAGCTTTGTACGATAGATGCATACAACATCAACTCAAGTGTATACACCTGTAGATTGTACAGTCAAATCTGCTTTAGTGACCACCTGTCTACAAAGACCACTTTTTTTTGTTTCCCTTGAAAATGGTTTCTCATTTAAATATGTACCAAAGGAACCTGTCTACAAAGACCAACTTTTACGTTTCCCTTTGGCGGTCGCTATATACAGGTTTGACTGTATATTGAAGTCATTCATGTGCATCTTTGGATGGTAATACTCTTCAAACTTCTACAGAAGAGAAGGATCTTGGCATTCCCCTCTTATACAAATTTCTCATCAGACCTCATCTGGAGTATAGGAATAGTGCCTGGCATCCTAGATTCATTGCAGATATCGACATACTTGAAAGGGTCCAGAGACGTGACACTAAGCTACCGCCTAACTTGGCCAACAAGTCATATGAAGACAGACTCGAGCATCTGAAATTACATTCACTTTTATGTAGACGAAAACGTGGCGATATGATTTAAGTCTATAAATTTCTGCATGGTATTGACTTTTGCCCATTAGACAAGTTTTTCATGATGCATCCATCCCGCGAAAACTAGAGGTCACTTGTTGAAAATTTTTAAGCAACATTTCAGACTCAATCTCAGAGGGCACTTCTTCAGCCAAAGAGTTATCACCTACTGGTACAATCTTCCTCAGTCTGCGGTCACAGCTCCAAGTTTGAATATTTTCAAAAGACTACTCAATAATTATTGGTCTAAATTCCAGTATGTTCATACATGCCAACTGTTCAGATTAAAGAGGAACATTCCTCTTTTTGGGAGAAGATAATTATCATTTTAATGCAGGTGTTCCTCTTCCTGTACAAATTTGTCTGTAGTATTGAATAGGAGAGTTAGGATTGTTCCTCTTTTTTTTAAAATAGCATAATTTGTACAGATTTCTGATTTTCAAATGTTGGCATGTATGTATGTTGCGCGTGATCCATCTAGTGTGCTCTCAAAATTGTTTTTGTCTGTTAATCAGAACCATAAAGAAGTAGCGACCGGAAGACCTACAGGAATACTTTTTCTTCCGTATACTGTTGATGTTGATGTTTTGTGTATTATTTCCATTAGAACTACATGGCCAGGAAAGCAGCCAAAGAGAAGGATAGAGAGGAGAGTGGAAAGAACAATCAACAAGGGAATAAGAAGAAACTTGTGCTACGCCCTCTAGAGAACCGCGCCTACCAACCAGGTCTGTTTTCTATGATATAATATCAAGAGGTCAGTGACACAAAGACGTAACTGCATTTTGGCCATTTTGAGAAAAAGTGGCTAATGTGTCACTGAGCACTTGGGCCTTAATGAGTTAAGTCTATGTTTTACTAGCCATTGACTTCAATGAGGTGTTGGGTGGGGTTAAGTCTTTGAGTTTTCTGACAGCCCACATTTTTCTGAGCATGTTGATATCAAATACTCATTTTGGCAAAATATGGAGTAACGTCTTTGTTGCACTGAACCCTTGTTATGTGCTCATGAAAATTAATTGCAATCACTTGTTTATGATTCAATGGTGTATTCAGTGATGCACAGGTAGAAACATAAAAAGAGAGACAAATAGTTTTCTGTTGCTGGGGTGGGGTGGCGGAGGAGGAGGGGGGGGGGGGGGGGGGCTTGGGAGGGTCATGTGCTAACTGGAGTGTAGATGTATGACTGATAGTTTGATAAATAAAGTAAAATATCAACTTCGTTTTATTTGTAAAAAACACTTTATATTATAACGATGCAAATATTCTCTTGATTAAACCCATTTGTGTTGTGTTCTTTCCCAGCAGTGAGACGTGTTGAAATATACATTATAGCCCCACTGCACTACTTATACTGATATTGCATCAAAAGTAACTCATCTAGGGAATGATATTTCTAAGAATATAAATGATTTTGATATCTCAAAGTGTGTTGGAGATTTCAATCGACAATGTAATATGTTTTTGTTTAATTTCAAATATGCTAACTCTCACATAAGAAATATATTGTTTCATAAATATTGTTCGAGTTTCTATGGCTCACAGTTATATCCTCTGTTTGATAAATGTTTTGATAATATTTGTAGACAATGGCGGGTTGCAATAAGAAGGGTTTGGAAAATTCCATGGCAGACACACTGTCATCTTTTGCCTTATTTAGCAGGTGTTATGGATCCAGAGTTATGGTTTGCAAAAAGATGTTTATCTTTTGTTGTGAAAGCCATGAATTCCAAAAATTATACAGTGGCACATATAGCTGGAATGGCCAGGTATGGAGCTCATTCTGTGTTGGGAGGTAACATAAGATTCTTGAATGATAAGTACTTCATGGATAACAATGAAATTCAAAAGCAGTGGGCTGTGCAATGCCAAGTGAATGATGAGACAATACGCATAGTTGAACAAGTAAAGGAATTGATCAACTCGAGGGATGATTATTTATGTAAGGGTTTCCTTAACCGAGAGGAGTGCGAGGAAATTATCTTGTATTTATGCACACTCTGATCTTACCCTGTTATACATGTATTCTGTTGTTGATGTTTTTTTTGTTTTTTTTTTGTCTTTACATATATTGTGAATGTGCCTATTTGTAGAATATATTGTACTTTTTTTGTTATTTTTTTATATGTGCTTTTTAAAGCGAATAAAGAACTCTTTAATTGAAAAATTGAATAGATACTTGCGCCCTCTATACAGCCAACAATGCGTCAGCGGTACCTGTTGATCCTCCATAATGCCCTTTTTCTTATGTTAATTGAGAGCTGATTTGATGAGATAGCCACCTGTAAGTGACCTTCATGGGTGGTCTAATCCCTCCTGGCCAAACTAGTACAGACGGCCTTTAAATGCACATATCCCTGATACAAACTTACATACCAGTATTGTTTCCAGTTGTAATGTATGAGTTGACATCATTTACACCAGACCTGTTTATTTCCCATTACCACAGCTCAATTTGAAGGTGCCCTGGGCAAGCTGACATCAGCTAGTGTGAACAACCCTCGTCAGATCATTGATATACACATTGAAAATGCACCTGAAGAAGAAGAGGTAATGAAAGTCCTTGTATGTTTTATTTGCATGAGAATGTTGAGTTCTCTTGGCAATGGGGAATGGGGAATGCAGGCCTGAGGATAACCAATTGAAATCTTTCCAGATTTTTTTTTTCTTCCCGATTTTATCCTGATTTTCCGGATTTTTCCTTATTTTCTCTATTCTTCTCTATTCTTCCCTATTTTTTCCCAATTTTCTTACTCAAAAGCGGGGAATGTTGTTAGATGCCACTTCCCCCCCCCCCCCCCCCCCCCGAGTCCTCTTTTTTCTTTTTTTTTTTACTCGAGGGGGGCGTGGTTGAGGGGAAAAAAAAAACACAATTTTTTTTTTTAGTGCTCACTATCACCCCTGGGGATGGAAAAATGGTGACAATCTCTTTATAGTGTGTTTCTACAGCAGACCCAGAAAATAATAGCATTGTTTACCGTAATAGACCCTTAAATAATCGCTAATGGAATTTAACCAGACGAGTTTGTTTGTTCAGAATAGGCGTAGGCCTGAGTCATGTCGGGATTTTCATAAACCGGGTCCCGACGGCGTTGCACCGATCGGGACCCGGTGTCCCGAAATCAGCTCGCAGGATTTGTCACTTGCCTCTATAAAAAGCGCATATATCATCAGTATGTCTCTTAAAAGGGACATTTTTTATCAATCAAATAAATCAACACATGCATACCTCGGCTCAGATCGGTATTTTCTTCCATTTGACATTATTTTCATCCATGATTGGCGATGTTTAGTGCCATTATCGTGCCTCTAAAAGTAAAAAACTGGGGCAGAAATAGAAGGCCAACATTCGAGCCGCCATTTTTATTTATGCAGGTTGAATAAATTTGGTCAAAAAAATATGAATGTTAGAATAATAAAAACGGCTTTCTAAAAAATTCTTCTATAGAATATACCGATCATATAATATTTTAAAGACAAAATAAATATTTATCTCTTATTTTAAACATCGCATGCTTTTTTTTAAAAGCTGAAAATTACTTGGTAATCACAAGAAGTTTCGATACAGATAGCTGTTGCAAGGCAAGTTCAGACTAGTCTCGGAAAAATGCGCAGTGCGCCTCGTTAGCTGTAATGCGTGCTCGAACGAACCCAAACAAAGACGTGATCGTAACGAGAAAAAAATCATTAAAAACTACGAGAGCACAATTGGAAAGACAACTACTGCTCAAAATTACCATAATCAGATACATAACTTGGACAAAGAATTCAATAATCGCCCAAGAAATGCCACAGAAATTGTGATAATCGAGGAGTAACTGGATACATTTTTATCGCAAGGGGCCTAGCTGCTGCAAATACTCGAATCCTTTGTTATACTGTTTTTTACCGTAGAGGGCCTTATTTGGTTTCTAGCCTCGTGTTCAATTTAAACACGTGTAATTCGGATATCGCAGCAGCTAGGCCCTTACGATAATGATTGTACCTATAGTAAATCCTTAAATATCACTATTTATGTGGCTTTTCTTGGACAACTATTGTTTTCTTCCTCCAAGTTATGTTTCTGCTTACGATAATTTTGAGTAGTTGTCTTTCCAATTGTGCTCTCGTAGTTTTTAATGATTTTTTTCTCGCTACGATCACGTCTTTGTTTGGGTTCGTTCTGGCACGCATTACTGCTAACGAGGTGCACTGCGCATTTTTCCGAGACTAGTCTGAACTTGCCTTGCAACAGCTATCCGTATCGAAACTTCTTGTGATCACCAAGTAATTTTCAGCTTTTAAAAGAAGCATGCGGTCTTCAAAATCTAAGAAAAATTATCTATTTTGTCTTTTAAAAATTATTCGATCGGTATGTTGTAAAGAAGTACTTTTTAGAAAGCAGTTTTATTATTCAAACATTAATGTTTCTTTCAACCTGATTTATTAATCCTGCCGAGAGACCCGGCCAGTACAGTAGCTAGCTAGCAGCTAGCTGGCAACAACAACCCCATGGGGCGAACTGATTTGCAACCACTATTTGTATCAGCAGTTCGGATTGATTCAGGATGAGCTAGAATATGATTGGTAACAATTAAATACTTAAATTTTAAGCTGGATTGATTTTAGTGGTGTGCAAAACTGCAATTTCTTACATATTTCATTATTTTTTTCGGAGCGTCGGTTCTCAAAAAACGAAACCGGGACCCGACGGCAACGGTCGGGTCCCAATGTGATCGACCGTACCGACTCAAGCCTAGTTCAGAAGTGCAGAGGTTTTGACATTCTTTGTATGAAAAAAAGAAGGTTGATTTCTTTTGGTAATGGAGGATGGGGGATTGCAAAATAGTGATGATCATTGTTTAAACTCCAGCTACAAATATAAACAAATTCATTCTGAGCTATTTGCTGTTATTTGGTAGGCCTGAAGATTGTGTAGATTCAATAATGAAGTGATGAAAATTAAGTATTGATGTTCTCTGAATATAAAGAGGAGGCTTAATTTTTCTGATAATGGTGGATGGGGGGATGGCAAAAATGGTGGCAATCACTTGGCCTGTTTTAACTGGAGACCCAGAAAATAATGCCATTGTTTACCCTGAATGGACCCAGAAATTATTCAATGATTCAAATGATTCAGATGATTTTATTTCTCATGCAAAACATAATTAAATGAATAGGTAAATTACATAAACATATACAATGAAACGACAAATATAATTAGAAATAGCACAAGAATAGAGGAACTAACTAGAACTTAGAAGCAGAGCTTGTTGAAGTGTTAGTTCCTCAGATGCTGTTTTACAATATGTGAATATATAAATTTAAAAAATATATGGCAAAGAAATTATGAAATTTAGGGGAAAATGCTAATGGAATTTAACCAGTCCGAACATTAATGTTTTGCAAAAGGACATTAATACCGTGTCCGGGATCAGAACCACGACCTTGGCATTTCCAGCCAAGTACATAAACCACTTGACCATAGGCGCGATAGCTCAGTCGGTAGAGCAGTGGTCTCGTAATCTGTTGACCCAGGTTTGAAACCAAGGCGATGCGCTAGTGCCCTTTGGTAAGGCATTAATCCTCATTACCAGGTCCCTCGGAGAGGACCTAAAGCCGTCGGCCGTCTGGTTGCTTACTTACACTGTACAAGCATTTATGCTTTCTTAGCAGTCAGGTAAAATAACCATCACATTAACCATGAAACCTCTTTATATTCCATGTCAATTTGTTCATTCAGGGAGGAAAGGCTAAGGACCATGGTCGTCGACGTCGAACGCTCCTGGCCATCGAGCGCCTGTTCAGCCTTGTCATGGAGGGAGAGGACGTAGATATGCTTGTCAGAGGTTTACCTGAATCAGACCGTGGGCCTCTCCTAGAGAAGAGGAAGGGGCTGGTGATGAAGCTGTGTGCCACGCTCAAAGGAGAAAAAGGCGACGGACTCAGAGAAAGGTAAACAGAACAATTGATTTCTTTCACAGCTCTGTCATCCAATCCAATTGAATCCAGGAATTTGTAGAGCTCATTTCTTAAGTTAGAAGCAATATCTTCACACTGTTTGGTTGAATATGCTCTTAGCATTCAAAAGTACTCATTAAAGGTACAACAAAGTTCAAATTGATTGTCTAAACAAAATTTTTCTACCAATTCTGTTTGATGTTTTGTAGGACGGCCAGTACCTTGTTCCATCAGATCCTTGGCATTCGTAAGGGGCGTAAGTTAGTGAGCCGCATCATACCCCTTCTGGGCAAGGAGGAAGCCTTCCCCCTCGTGGAGACCTTCTTGGCTAACCTGACCTACATCTTCAAACAGGAAGCCAAAGACCTCAAGAAAGATGCCATCGAGAGCCAGAAGGGAAGGCTTGATGAAGTAAGTTCACCCTTAAAGGGAAGGTTGAGTTCTGGGAAGAGATGAAAAATAAGTGTTATCATTGTTATGTTATATGCAAGTGTGGAAGAACATCAGATAAAATATGTTCCCCAAAAAGGATGGCTCTTCAAATGCCTTCATTTTCTAAATATGGCACGTAACAACATAAAAATCTGAACGGATTTTTCTGCCCGTGTTTGTGTAGTCCCATATTTATCTTTCTGTGTACAGCTTGTAACTTTACCACGACTGCATGGGCCAAGTTTCTTATCATTTTGATGATTCCAAACATCAATAAATATTACACCTTTTGCATTTCGTGCCTCTGCATTTCACTATTGAAGGTACTATGTCCCTTTTGCAGCCAACCTCAAATGCTGTAGAACTTTGCAGAAATTATGAATATGTCATGTATGTCCTATCTGTGAAATTTAAACTTTAGCAGTGTCCTCATATTCAAATTATGCAAGGAAACCTGTTTACTTGCTAGACTTTACTGCCAGACACTATTGAGTGAGTGACTAACTTTTTTTCTTCTTTGGTAATAACATACATGAAAAGAGTTGTAAAGGGTACATGAGCATTTGTCTACATCAATAACCCACTTCTTGTGATGGCCAAGATTAAACTGATTGAATATTTTCGCAGCATAAAACGTATGACCATTCGGTACAATTGTCTGAGAATCAAGACTATTACTTTTGGGCTCTATAGCCCTAAAGTCGATTTGACAACTAATAGTCGTTATTTTCCCACTTGAAGACATTTTCAAGCCCCACCTTTTTTAAGTTCTAAATTAGTATTATCTTTCAAATGCAGTTGGAATTTAACTTTTTCATTTTTTTGGCCTGCAAATGGGACATAGTACCTTTAACCCTTACTGTACTGGGCTATTTTGAGCACCCACTGACTGGGGGGGGGGGGGGCCTGGGAGGCCCCCCCCCCCTATGATCTCGGCCGTCGATTGTCCGATGAACACGAAAATTTGCATGTTTGTAGATATTTACGTAAGGAACAAGATGGTATAATTAGTTTTTTCCGAATATGCAAATTTTTGTCGTTAGCCTAATTAATTATGCAAAATGCGCTAATTTTATGCATTTTACCGAAAACGTGTCAAACTCCACTTTTTGAATGTTGAAACTCATTATTCATATGAAACTTCTTTTTTAACACAAAAAAGTTATTTTAATGTAATTAATAATGATAATTTATGCAAATTTTGATGCGATTTTCATTTTTTTTTTTTTTTTGATGACATGCGCATACTAATTGTTATGTAACGCCTTATAGGTATATCCGATTTCGACGAAAATGGTATCAAAATGTGCGTAAGACTTGAGGGAAAATAGTCATGAAACGACAATTCAAAATACCAAGCGGTTGCGGCGCAATCTCCGAAAATGTCGAGGGGGGGGCCTCCCAGGCCCCCCCCAGTACAGTAAGGGTTAAAGCGACTCCAGTATTCATTGTGTAATATCAATCAATTAATCATTCTCTTTCAGACATTCCCCCAGCTCTATCTGCCGCTATGTCAGGTAATCCAGGAGAGTGAGCTCATTGACCTGATCTCCCTGGTCGGTGACCTTGAATCCCAGATACCGACGACCCCGTCTGCTACCCAACCCAAGGGCTCATCCATCATCTCTGGTGCTATGCAAAACAAGGTCAGAAATGCTCTCAGGATTTATACAGCGCGTCCCAGAAAAAACGATACCGAAAATTTGACAAAAGTTGACAAAAAGACTTAACTCCGTTTCGTTGACAATCAGCCATGTATCAAGTCTTTTGTCTTGTTTGTGCATCGCTGATCGTCAACAAAACAGAGTTAAGTTGTTTGTCAACTCTGTTTGTTGCTACGGCAGGCAGCCAGTAAAAATTGACTGTTCACGGCGCCATGCAGTCAGGTAGTTCTCCTTAGAACTATAAGCTCAAGAAAGATTACCAACAAAAATTTTCAAGAATACCAACAGTCCTTTTCAGGACTCCACAATCTTCCCCCCTCTCTCTCACATGGTGCAACCATAAACCTAACATACAAATTGAGAAAAGCTGTCATGATTTATTTGGAAGTAAATGTAGAGATACCGTATTTGCCGGCGATAAGGCCGCAGCGCCGCATAGACCGCACCCCTGATTTTGACATTGTCGAAAAATTGTCGAAGATGGGATTCGATCTCTTAATGTTGATGTGACTAAAATCACCGCATTAGACCGCTCGGCCATCCCGCACTGATACTGTCATCTGCAGTTTTCTCTGATCTATACATTGCGCCTCTCGTGTATAGACCAGTTCACGGTTATCACATGGCTGCAATGACCCCGAATATACACAGATCTTCAAAACATGAAGAGGTCCCACTTTGTACATTTTGAAATAATCACTCCTACAGCGATGGAGATGCTACATACTTATAGCCTTTGTTTCCCCTTTTCAAAGAATACTTCCACCTGTGTATCATGGAGTGCTCTGCTTGTGCATAATGAATAATGATTACATAACTTTCATGAGCACGTATCCAGTATTTCGTCTCCGTGTATTTCACAATTTGTTCTGCAATGACCTTTATCTGCTCATGCTCAGACTGCAACCGTGAACTGGCTTATTACGCCGTAGCTTAGCTCGCGCGATCGACAGCAAAAACTTAAATCTCGATCTATCAGTAGAGTTGGGTTGGTAAGTTATGAATTTTATTTACGAGATTGGCAAAACTTTGCCCTTCATTTGAAAAATATAACACATAATTGTCGGTAAGACATATGATACTCTAGACAGTTATTCTAGAAATGTCCTATATGTTCAAATTTGTGTTTTTGAATTGCTATTTTTTTTTTTTTTTAACTCTTTTGCCGCAAAGGCCGCCCCCAACTTTTTGATATTTTCTCTTCCAAAAATACTGCGGCCTTTACGCCGGCAAATATGGTAGATATTAACATCATTCAGAAAGGCATTATGAATGTATTTTAGTCAGGTAGGGGCCACAGTGTCATCTACATGTATCTACTCTGGTGCTATTCAAAACAATATTAGATTGATATCAAAAATTTGAAAATAATTTAATTTATAACACAGGTAATGGATAATTTTAGCTAAAGCAAAGCTTTCAAGGTTAGAAATGCTGTATAATAGATCGTACATGTAGCTATTAGCATGATTTAGATATGATGTTTTTAAATATGGAAGTGTGGGGCTGAGAGCAGTAATCTCAACTCTCATGCCACTCAAAAGGTCATCTATCATATACGCTTCGATCCAAAACGAGATTAGATTGATATATGCGAAATATAATTAATTACTAAAGTCCTGGCTTTTCGCTAATGACTCAGGCACTGAATACCTAAGCTATAGTGCAGTTTCCAAGGTTATGAATGCTGTAATCTTCACTTAACAGCTAGGATGTATGTATATTATTTAATTGGGGCATTTTAAAGTGTTGTTTTTCCCCCCAGAAAGGGAAGCATGGTGATAGGGAGGGGGAGATAACAACTGGCCCCACTCTAAGGGTTTATCTGTTTTCTCTAGTGCCATGGTTAGATTGATGTGATGTTATGTTCATTTATTTCAGATGTAGTTATAATGTTATATCCCATTTGCCCTGAAAACGTTTATATTTCAACATGATGCTTTTATTTAAGCATTTTTATTTAAACATTAAACATGGGGAGGGAGTGGCCAAAAAAAGTAACTCCCACATTTGGTTTCTTTGTCCATTTTGGAAGTAGAGATACATTGTCAGTATTATTCAGAGTGGACATTTTTGGAGCATTTTTACCCAGGAAATGACTTGTGCAACACCATAGATTGTCCTTCATCTCTAATAATATTTTAAGCAATGTTGAAATTATTAGTTGGTTTCTTTTGGAAGGAGAGATTGATAGATGCATTTTTGCAAATCTGATTGGACATTTTGAGAGTGTTTTTGGTCAACAAGATAGTGGGCGTCTTGATGTCCACTCAGCCCAAGGTTCATTCATTTTCTGTGGTGGTTTTCACAATAATGTTATTTTAAAAGTAGATATTGCTATTGCTATCCGTTACATTAGCATTTCATTGACAAAAACTTCCCTTTCCATCCTTCCCGGGTACAAAGGCTCCAAAAATATCTCATCTATATTTCAGCAAACTATTACAATTTTTAAAAAAATGTCTATTGCCATTTTCAGTCCTCTGAGCCTACTGGATTTACTATGCCTCTAGATTTATTCATTTTTTAGTAACATTTTTTTTCTTTCTTTGGTTTGTTCATCAGCTTGGGGTGTCAATTATCATGTGTATGTTAAACCGTGCTGAGGAGGTGTATACAGCTGAGGAAACACCAGCTTTTCACACAAAGTGGTAAGTCACATATGGATTTTAGACATACAGTCAAACCTGCTTTAGTGTCCACCTGGATAGTAAGACCACCTGTCTACAAAGACCACATTTTTTGTGTCCCTTGGAAATGGTTTCTCATTGAAACATGTACTAAAGGAACCTGTACATCAAAACCACTGGCCTATAATGACCACTTTTCTTGTCTCCCTTGGGTGGTCTTTATAGACAGGTTTCACTGTACCTGTAATAGTGTGTGCTTTGTAGATCTACATGTAACAACATTTATCAACCAGTGGGGAGAGGGATCAAGATTGCCTGACAGGGAGGCAAACCTTTCTCCAGACAGTAACTATTCCCAGATGGTCTCACATTTGTCCAATGTTTGCTACCTCACCAAAATTCTTTAACAGACAAAAACAGGAATATACCTGTAGTTGGGGGCTCCAACTATTCTAGATTTTTTTTTTTTTCTTCAAATATTTACGTACATGTACATGTAGGTTATTGACCACTTTTCTATTTTAAAGGAAACAGTCTACTTTAATATGCCTCTTTTGTGAAGATATACATAAAACTTTAAATTTAAAAGCAAAAAAGGTGTTTACTGTTGGTACAATTGCACTTATTCTACTGATTGCACCAATTGCTCTTGATATTTTACAACATATCATCTACCTGATATTTCCAGGTCGAATGATTATCTAATAATGATTACTCTCAAGAATTTAGTTGTATTTACAACTGGAATATCAAAACCAGTATTCGTTTACATTCATGCGATTTATATAAATAATTTTGTTTTGGTGCGATATACCATGCATGATGTTTTATCAGTATTCAGTTTCAATTTGTTAGCTAAAAACCACTGTGTGAAGGCTAATAGAATCTTATTTAAGCATAAACTGAGCTTATAATTGACGCCGTCAGAATACATGATTAAATGCAAAGTCAAGTGGAAATAGGACTGGCATCCTGTAAAACCGTTATCCTAATAGGAGTTACATCTTAATGTTATCAAACTGGAGAAGGATTTCTTGGTACACATACAATTGTTGCATGGTTGTGAGTTATTTTTGCATAATTCCTTATTTAATTTGAACAATGCTGTTTAGTCATAATAAAAAGAAAATGGTATTAATATCCTTTAATGTACCGGGTATTTAAATGCCTGTGTCAATCCTTGCCATTATATGTGGAAAAAAACTGCAGTAAATATTTTGTTGGTGGTATAATCATTTGTGTACTCTCTCTCTCTCTCTGTCTCTAACTTCTGTTTAGTGAATTTTATAGGGATGAGTATCTGGATTTTTGGCACTTTTTTAACAATTTGTTTTCAAAGTAAAATAAATCATTACATGAGAAAGCTGCTTATTGGTGAAAATTTGTAAAATTATTTTTTCTTGTACATATTTTCATAATTTATTGTCTTTTTGTGTACTTGTTTTGTATCTTTGAACTCTGAAGCAGAACTCAGTACTTTTAATTTCCCACAGGTCCCACCCCCGCCCCCTCCTTTATTAGTAATTGATTGCGTCATGTCCCAGTGAGACTTAACTAAATGTACAGTGCAAAGTACATGTACACACTTGACTGCCAATCCTTGTTTCCGCTTATAAGACTCACAGCCTTCACAGGTTCTTGTATCTTCCGATATTCATCAAATAACTGACAACCATGCAACAATTGTACTTGTACCAAGAAATTCCTTCTCCAGTTTGATAATATTAAGATGTAACTCCTGGGATAACGATTTTACAGGACGCCAATTCTATTTCCACTTGACTTTGCATTTAATCATGGTGCTCTGAAGCTGTTTACACCATGTATGTATTTAAGCTCTGTTTCTGCTTATATGATTCTATCGGCCTTCACGCATGCGTTGATTACTGATCTTGCTACCTGAGTTTCAATAAATAGCCCTTCTAATATCAGCTAGAGTATATTTCCACTTGACTTTGCATTTAATCATGGTATTCTGAAGCTGTTTATGTATTTAAGCTCAGTTTCTGCTTATATGATTCCATTGGCCTTCACATGTTATGCATTAATTACTAATTTTGCTACCTGACTTTGCATTTAACAGGCCTGATAAAACCTGATTTAAATCGGTTTCCCAAATTTTTCCAGATTTTTCCAGATTTTTTGTTTTTACCTGATTTTTTCCTTTTTTTCTCTATTCTTTTCTCTATCCTTCCCTATTTTCTTACTCAAAAGGGGAGGAATGTTGTTAGATGCCATTTTCCCCCTGAATCCTCTTCCTTTTTTTTTTACTCACGGGGGGCATGGTTGAGGGAGAAAAAAATTTACTGCTCACTATCACCCCTGATTTAATCATGGTATTCTGAAGGCATCAATGTGTAAGCTCAGTTTCTGATTACGATTCTATCGGCCTTCACACATGCATTTCTTAACCACCTTGCTATCTTAGTTTCAATAATAGCTCATTCTAATATCAGCTAGAGTCTACTTCCACTTGACTTTGCATTTATTCCATTTAATCATCAGTGGTATTTTGAAGGCGTTGATGTATAAGCTCAGTTTCTGCTTATAATATGATTATATTGGCCTTCACATTTTATTACCTATCTGTACTATCTGAGTTTCAATAAATTCCATTTCTATTTGACTCTGCATTTAATCATTAATGATTAAAGATTATATTTGGTTTTCTAAAGGCGTTGTTGTATAAGCTCAGTTTCTGCCTATAATACAATTCTATCAGCCTTTACACATGGGTTTATTAGTAATATTACCCATCTTCCTACCTGACTTTGCATTTAATTATGGTATTCTGAAGGCATTGATGTATAAGCTCAGTTTCTGCTTATTGTATTCTATCGGCCTTCACACATGCGTTTATTACTCATCTTGCTACCTGAGTTTCAATAAATAGCCCATTCTAATATTAGCTAGAGTCCTGAGGACATTGCTTTATTGAAAACGTTTTTATTCCATCGGGCTTCTGTACGGTGTACATTCTTTAAGACAAGGTTTGGGTACCGGTATGCGGATAGAATGCCAATTATAGAGCTCTGTGCATATCAAGAACCCTGGCTGTATTCACATTTTATCTTTCTCATGCTAATAATAATACTATAGAGTATTTGTAATGCGTCAACTCGACATGTCTAATGTGTTTGAGGCGCATGGAGATGAAAAATTACAAGTACATGAATATACACACAAAATGAACAACAACAATGTGAAAGTAAATCTACTGGAAAGCCGCTTTGAACAAATGAGTTTTTAGGAAATTTTTAAAGAAATCTTAACTTGAAATATATTAAAATATCCAGTGCTGTAGCTCGGAACCCAAAACCCGGATCCGGCCCGGCCCGGCCCGGCAATTTTCCAAATTTCTTAACAGGACCCGGAAAGGTCCAGTAACCCGGAAATAATATTGACTTTTAAAAAGGCTATTAGAAGGCTACTACAAGTCTACTCTACACCACATCTTGTGTGACCTACTGTTTACTGACCTTGTCCTCAATAACACCGCAACATTTTTCATCCTGCTGTCGACCAGCCAGGATTCATTGTGAAAGGCTAGCATGCAAATGTTTACACTTTACAGTTACGTTGACGGTTTTATCATGATGCAAGATAAGTAGATAAGGAACAATGATCTATTCTACATGTATTTCAAAACTTTTTTTTACTACCGGGTTCCGTTACCGAGTTGATCCAATTCTGGCTACAGTTCGGCCCGTTAGTAGTTCGGCCCAAAACACTCAACCCGACGGTTTAGAACCTGGTAAGCCTTCCGGGCTACAGCACTACTCAAGATTAGCTTTGAGGTCGTGGTTATAAAAGTTAAAGGTGTTTTGTAGTTGAGTTTGCGCCAACTTTTAGTTGATATGAATTCTTTCCCTGGCTTATGGTGAACTTCAAATGAATACTTGTTGTTTGGTTGATCATTGTTGATAACTTTGAGGTTTTGCAAACTTGAGACTACAAGTGAACATAGCTTTAGAAAGTACAACATTGAGGATAAACAATACCTGTGCTATAGTGTGCTTTACAAGTCGAGTGGAAAATGAAATATGCATAGGGTCGGGGAGTCATGAGTAAATGTTCCAAAAAATCACCCTGCATGTACATGTACATGTACGTGTAGCTGTCATGGCTCGTGTTTGCATGCATGTACAATTAGTAGAGGCTCATGAGGAAAATGCTATTCAATGTGACTTCTATGTGATTTTTTTTATTGCTGGTTCAAAGAATCCTTGTAAATAGTTCAGAATCAGTTCAAGCCAGTTTCTGTTGCATTGCTTTTTTATTTCCAGAACTTAACAAATCAGCTTTAAAGAGAAAAAGGGTAGAATAGACTGAGAAAACATGCTTTCTTTATAGTACATGTAACTGTTAGACATAGAGCTTTTCAGAGGGATTTGGTAATTGAGGTTTAATGCCTTCACTGAGGGCTTGTGATCACATTAACTACCGGTAGGTTTGAACCTGGAACCTTCAGGGTTAAGAGACCACTGTTCTACCAGTCACACTTGGGGGTAGAGAAACCTAATTTGTGAAGTTCTGTGAAATTGCTAATTTTAAATTCTTGCCACGTTCAGCTGACATGAAGGCAACGCCCACAGAAGACACGTGCAGAAATTCATTAATTCCATTCAGGAGTACATGTGCATGTTAGTTTGAATGAACAAATGTTTATATTACAGCTACTTGCAGACTTCAGTCAGGCAAATTGTAATTGCCTTTTTGAGTAGTCAGGGCACTCTTCGCTACCCAGATAGTTTGTACCAGAGTCATGTAGAAAATTGAGTACTTGGGTAGCAAGTCAAGTGGCTGTATGTACCTGTTAAGAATTACTTGCAAGTTGCTGGGCATTTTTTAATTCTAACTTTACAACTCTATGGCATTAGGGCAGCTACAAATCATGTACATTATGTATGGATGCATGTATGCATACATTTATGCATTTAAAAAAAATGTATAACCTACAGGAAAAATCCATGGTAGAAGTGTGTTTTCCCCTTAATATTGATTATAAAGTAACATTATTA